ACGTAAAGTGGAGAAGATCAAGCTCGATGCCAGGAAACCGTGACCTGACCAAACCAACTTTTCACAAGTTTGGTACGAGCTCATTGTTCGAAATGTCACGGATGCCCCAGGTGTGCTGCACTCATTGCGATTGAATCCCGACACAAGCTCCTCAACACAAATGGCAGCAACATAAAACATTTTTTAAAAAAACACTTGCAAAAGCTAAGGGTGATCCTGGCGGACATCAAGAAGGGTTCTGTCAAGCGTTCTGCTGAACAAGGCAACGGCGATGGGCCAGGACCAAAGCCGAAAGCGAAGGTCAAGGCGAAATCGAAGAGCAAGGGGAAGTGAGAGCCATATGGGCGCCTAGACAATTACCAGGGTGCTGGGGAGGATGGTCTATACCCAGGGGTCGAATTCTTAAACTGGTAGTCGCAACGATCTCCAATGGTCAACTGTGGTATTGTCGCTCTTTTGTGGTAGGTGTGTTGAAGCTTCTGCAAATGACTCGATGTTGAACTTAGGATTTGAAGATTTGATGGATCATGCTTTTCCTCAATCGCGATGACAGATTGAGAGTGGGAATGTTTAGATGCGCCTAGCTTGGCTTTCAAGAATGATGGCCCATGGAAGAGTTCTATTGTCAAATCTCTTTTCAACTATGGACGTTGCCATAAAACTCGATCGTTGCTTGGTACAATGTGAGACCATGGGCATTGTGACAATGCCAATAGCGTGTCACGGCTTTTGATCCGCAAATCGTGTTAGAACCTGTTGGTACTACCAACGGGCCGTTTTGGGAGCACACTGAAATGGTGGGCTCAAGTCAATCAACCGATCATGAAAGACATATCTGGGCTGGTCCAAACAATGCCATTCCCTGCATTTTGCTGCTCGCTCTGCCCGTTTTTTCCACTAGTGCGGACAAGGCTCCAATCTGCATGCCAGGTCCCTCCACCAGCGCAGAAGATCTTGCTTGGAGCTATGCACGTGGCGCCGCTCGGATCCATGGTGTCCATGTTCATGGCCCGACTATGGAAGCATGTGTGTGAAGCTGTTCCCTGGGTCATGTGTCTGGGCCAATTGGTTTCACTAAGGCCCCATGCACCGACATCCTCGAGAGGGCCAAGTCCATCATAGACTATGACCAGCGTGAAGAGAAACAGTTCTTGGGTGGAGGCATGGTTGCTCCTACCTGCCCTGTTCTGCGAGACCTTTATGGGGTAAACCCAAGCAAATCAGAACCTGCGCTGCATTTGTGTGCAGTTTTGAAATGTTCACCATTAAACCCTGTTGTTATCTTGTATTGGTGGGGGTCCCATCCCAAACAAGATTAACACATAATCCAAATCCAGAAAAAACACAGCTGGCCAGGAAGAAACAGTGGCGCGTGTTTTTGCTCGACACGGATTGCGACTGGATGTTCCTATCTCCACTTGCCGTGTGGGGGCTAACTGCCATTTCCCATACATCAAAGTGGAATCATGGATTCAGACTCTTGATCGGCTTGGGAAGCTTCACAAATTGGTTGTGCTTGGAACGGATCATCAACCCTTTAGTGAGATTGAAGGGTCTTTGCTGGAGTTTTGGAACCGATTCAGATTGATGCATGGCCAGCATCAAGTGTTTGCAGAGGCCTCAAGGGGCTCCATACAGTTGAACCGGGCTTTTCCTGTCTACATGCATGGCGACGAGGGAACCACCTACAAGAAAGATGGTTGTTTGTGCCTTTCGTTTCATAGCCCACTGGGGCGGGGCACTTCGTTGAACAAGATGGGCCCTGTTGAAGATGGTCTGCAAGGCGAGCAACATGTCAACTTTGTTGGCCACGCCTTTGAGACACGGTTCCTACTTGGGGCTATGCTCAAAGCACTCTAGCTGAACTATGGTCCACTGTTTTATATTTGTTCTTTGGCGGGCTTCGGCCTCGAATGTCTTTCATGTTCTTTCCATTTCACCCTTGGGCAACAGACCTGAGAATTAAGGAGGACTATCGAGATGATTCGACGGTGATGGATGAGCTGATAACAGTAGTCGTGCAATCCCTGGACAAGGCTTCTCGTGAAGGTGTTTTGCTCACCTCTGGTGAGAGAGTCTACCCGATCCCGATTGGAAACAAGGGTGATTGGCCATACCTGGATTTTTGACTAGAACTGACCTTTTTTGGTTTTGGGGTTGGCTGTGTGCATGTTTTTTCTTTCCCCTTGATGGGTGATATGATTTGAGTGTATTATCTGGGGTCCAAGAGTAGTGCCTCAGCACATATGACAACCCGTGCCCAGAAAGTGGCTGAGGCCACGAGTGCTCATCTTCTACGTTCCTATCGGAATGTCCCGAAGGCGGCATCCAGTGCTCGCGACTGCACAGGGATATGTCACATTTGTGCAGCAGGGCAGCCAAACTATGACTATGAAGATGTGCCCCTAGGTCCTGTCTAGAAATGTGTTTTCTTAGCATTCCTTTGTGAAAGTGTGTTGGAAGTGCAATGGGGTTTTGCCTTATTGGCTCATGCCTAGGTCTGAAGCCCCAGCTTTCTTACAAACAATGGAATCACAGATTCCATGGGAGGATGAGGCTGCGTTTACTCGATTGCTGATGCATGAGGAGAATAGGAAGGCATCCTTTCACAAAATCGATGTCTTTCATACTGTGAGCCTAGGAATAGGCAAAAGCTTTGCAGCTTCGAGCCTCACTCTCTTGCAATCTTTGTGTGATGGTACTTCCATTGAAACGCGTTTCCGGTCTCTCTCCGAGATGTTCATCGAATATTGCAAAGATGCTTGTTGGTCGTTTAGTCAACCCTGTTGAAGACAATACCATAATGTTTCCCTGCTAAGCCTGAAACATATAATAATAGTTGGAGCAAAGTGAAATTCAATTGAATTTAGGATTTGAACGGTTGTGCTAGAAAAAAGGTTCATACGGCTTGAATGCCAGTGCCAGCTAGTGCCATTGCCACTTAGGAGCACAGGAAGACCAACTATGTGTCCAAGATTGACCGTTCGCTGGTGGGTTGGATTGGGTCCTCTGAGACCAATGGAGCCTGGAGTAAGGGAGCCTTAACGACAGTGTTGTGCCAATTCCTTGAGTTTTTTTGCTCCCTTCATGGTCTGGAAACTGCAGCGGATGAGCGGATTCGATTGGTAGTTCCTTGTCCCGGCGTTCTTATTGTCTCACTTTCATTGGTTCGTTCCTACAAAACTCGAGGTTTAATGGGTGATCATTTAGGAGACTTCTTTTCAATCATCTGAGGCTTCATGTACCCGGGCATTGAACTTCTGGATGCGTTCTTTGTTCGCCAAAGGGTTTTGGATCCCTTCTGCCGAAGCCGTGGCCATCAACAGAGCTGGAAGACATTTCCTTTTGGGGTACGGGCGTCTTGCACAGATTTCCTGCCAGCTCAAAGAGCCCAGGTTTGCCCTGATGCCCAAACTGCACATGTATTATCATTTGGTGGAAACTATGTGCGCCCAATGTGCATCATATCCCTTTGTGGAAAACCCGGTCACAATGTCGACCTCGGTTGATGAAGACTTCATCGGACGGGTGTGCTACCTGACCCGATGTGTTTCACCCCGTTCCAGAATTGTCAGAACCTTACAACGGTATTTGACTCAAATTCAACTCATGTGGATTCGATCCCGAAAGGCTTGAAAAAATGGTTTGATCTGCCTTGTGTGGGTACCTGTCTGCAAAGGACCAAATGAAGGTACCCCAAGAATAACCGTACTACCCCGTAAAAACCCGTACTACAGCGTAAATAACCATTCAAATCCTAAATTCAATTGAATTTCACTTTGCTCCAACTATCCTTATGTTTCAGGCTTAGCAGGTATATATGCATGTTCCATCCGCCTTCGGGTGGTGACCGATCACCGATCCGACCGCACATCGACACGGAACGCCACTCAGTCGATCCGTTGTTTCGGTTCATCAGGTTGGACGAGGGCCTCGGCTGGTCAGACAATTCGATCTGAATCCAACCGAGGTCAATCCATGTCGATGTGGAGTTTCAGTCAGTTGTGAACTGAGGTCCAGGTGAGCTGAGGTTCTGCCAGGTGTCCCGAAACGAACGAACTGAGGTCGCCTCGGAGTCTGGCGCGGGCGCACGCGGCGCCCGCAGCGCCCGCGCCGGTGGTGACCCTGCCCGGGGTTTCCGCCAGGCGTGATGTGGGGGGCTGGTAGAGGCCTTGCTTGACGCCCAAACAACAAGAACATCATGTAAACTCGAGGGATTGAAACTCTTCATGTGGGGGGGGTCAAATTCTGGTGAGCTGCACCTCGCTTGGCCAGACCTCTCAGCAACTTCATTCGCTTGCCCGAAACGGATTTTCCACTTCGTTTCCCCACCCCCGTCTTTGCAGGTCACACGCGGAGTCACGCACGGCCCGGTTCGGGTGGCCCGGCCATCTCCAGCCGGTCGCGGGAGCCGTTCGGAGCGTTTTCTGAGCGACCGGCATAGTTGGGCGATTGTATAGGTCCCTGCAAGTAGGTAGAGGCTGTAACTGTAGTTCGGCAGTGAAAGTGCATTCATTTTCCTACTCGGGAAGCACTATGACTACGAGGTCCAGGGAAAGATCCTCCACTGGTGCAGCCTCAAACAGGTGCAGCCTCCTGGTCCGGCCACGGTTTCAGAGGCGCCCGTTCGTAGCTTCCTTGTTACGTTACTAGACCCCAGACACTCCATGGGACTGCCGTATATGCCGATCAGTTGGGGTGGTTTTGGGGGGTCAATTGATATATGGCATACATGGAGTGTCTGGGTACTAGTAAGAATGCTCCATTCGTAGCGATGCCCGTATACAGCGCTCCGTTCGTAGCGGCTAGCTCATTGCTACCGTCAGGCGCCCACGGTTTCGGCCTCAAACGGTGGATGACGTCTTGCTGTTCGGGAGGGAGACCGCTGCAAGACTGTAGACCCAAGACCGCTCACCATTCGGTGATGAATGGTCGGAGGCGTTCGGAACAGTGGATAACCATGTGGATAGCCTTAAACCTTCTTGGGGGTCCGGTTTCCTCACGAAACATGAAGGTGGAAACATGTGAACCTCTATTTTCCACGTCAACTGAGGGGTTCAGTGTTCCATAACTTGAGGCATCTTGAGGCTCGGTTTGACCAGCGTAGAGTTTGAAGCACTCTTGCGGCCTCCGGCGCCCATGGGGCAAGAGATTATCTTTCACGTGGGCGCTCTCGTCATTGAAGCTGCTACTGTGTTAAGGTGTAGCTTCCTTTTGCTGGGCTATTTGAGATCGAGGGAAAAGATGCTGATCTCCCTGAACCTGCAGTGCGCATGCCGCAAAATCTGCAGCGCTTGGTGGAGGAATGCATGTGAGATGGACCAGCCTTGCGAGGAGCTTGATTTGTTGCGCTGCCGAATGACTTGTCGAATGTGGAAGGTGCTGTATGCCGTTGCAATGATGCGCTTCCTGGAATCGTTCAGCCAGAAACACTGGGAAGAAAGACCTACTACAGTAAGCAATATAACACATGTTACCTCATAAATTGACCCCTGATAAAATGGAGCACTCGTTCACCTACAAAAGGACTTTCCGAGGGTCATTCTATAAGGGACCATGTTGTTTTTACGCCATAACTATCATCCCACCTATCAAGGCGACAAGTCGTTGGCACTAACCTACTTCCAGAAACTATATTAATATATACAACCTCACCGGCACACTCACTGTCCCCACCATTGACTGCGATCAAATAAGCAAATGCACGGTTACCAGCCACAAATCACACCTGGGGAGGGGGAGTGGGAGAGGGGGCCGAAGGTGTTTCTATAACAACCATGGTCGTGCCACCATGCTTAGCTGGATGCTAGAGGTTCCCGTAAGACTCTCTTTTCCCAAATGAAATCCAGATGACATTGAACATTTGAACTGGGATGGCGCAAAACACAACAGGTACTGACATCAACACAAGACAAGAACACATGCGAGCACCGCCTTCCCAGAGACTGGACTACCCATTTCCATGAGTTTTCAGACCACCGAAAAACTCCACGAAGACCAAAAAGGCAGGGGCTGGATTGGCTGATAGAGTAGCCTAATGTAGACTCTTGATTAATCACCCCCTTATAAAGAGGATTTCCAATTTAACTGGGTGGGTATATTAATCAAGAGACCACATCATTGTTTTCTCCATGTCCGTGAATGGTTGCATCATCTACTTGCTTTCGTTGCTTTCGCTCCCGGCTGTTGCAGTCGATTGAATCGATATATGACCCTCGGAGGACGTGACCCGATGTGTTTACAACACTCAAGCAAAACCAAGACTCAGGTGCCCAGTTTTCTTTTGATCCCTCAGATCCTCTCAAGATGAAACAAACCATCTCCGCATTCCCCAAGAGTGGCGTCAAAGAAACTCGAAAAGATGTGTTTTCCATTGAATCCCTGTCCAATCCTACCCAGAAAAGCGCGTTCGACATCGCTGGGGTCTCGCTTTTGGATCGGTTTTCTCAGAAGGTTGACCCTTTGCAAAACACAACGCACATTCCTATAAGGTATTGGTGTTCAATCAGCTGACCCTTTAGACGCCTCGGTGGTGCGAAGCTCCCTGGTTCTGGGACCCCCTTTTGTGGTCACCGGACACCTCCGTCCTGATCGGGCCTTGGTGGTGAACTTGGCCTCACTGTGGCTTCATGTGGCTCGGAGAGTGGCGTTTTGGATACGAAGGAATCAACCATATCCCAGATGGATCCATGGGACTGGCATATTTACCTATACTACATTGGGGTGGTTTCAGGGGTCAATGTATGTAAATATGCCATACATGGAGTGTCTGGGTACAGCAGTACTCAGAGCAGTACTCAGGCTTTATCAGCGGGCAGATTCTGGCCGCCTTGGGATGGCGACGGCTCCTGCCTGAATTCGATCCTTGGCCAAGAACGGAGAATCACCCAAAAATGAATGGAAAACAATTGACACGCTGGGTTGTTTCAGAACTTTGACTCAGATGAATCATTGCTGTTGCTTTGTTTAAAGGGTTGTGGATGGTTGTGGGCGGGGGTGTTTTTCGATGTTTTGGGACCTTTCACCTTCTGAAAGTGCTTTCGTGGGACTCCAGTGGGGCCACTGACCACACCGAACACACCTGGGTATATCGCCATGGGACTTGCATGCATTCTGCAGGACTTTTCCTTCCTTTTCCTGGCGCTGGTGGGCTTCCTCCTGAGCTGCAAGCCCGACCTCGTGACGCCGAAATCCCTCGATGCATGGTATGTGACTTGGGCTGAGGTGGGACCCTGGTGATTAAGAGAGCACCAAAAAGGCTTGAAGAGGTTTGAGCGCATCCAAATGGGCGGGCGTTTAATCACGATTTTACCCTTCATTTCACTCCCAAAAACTCACATATACCCAGAGAATGGCACCCTCAAAGGCTCTTTTCCTCTACACCACACACGGGCGACGATCCGTTTGCCCCCCAACCTTTTGGTTATGAACCGGGTATGGATGTAAGGCTGACTATGTGACAAGGTGAAAAGAAAGCAGTTATCAGAGACCGAATGAACGAAAGCGAATTCGCGGATGGGACCATTGACACTGGCATAGGAGGGAATCAAGCGGTTTCTTGCATTTGTCTCGAACTATGTTATAGAAGCGTTTTCTGTTACCAAAATCCCACTCAAGAAAAGTTTCGTCCCTCTGGGTAGAACTTTGTGATTGTATGCGGAAGAAAGAGGGTTGGTTGCTGTGTCTGAGTGGGAAGTGATGCTTGCTGTCGGGGAAACGGGAAAAGTAGGACACCGGGAAATTGCCCCTACGCATTAATTTTCTTTCAAAGCCTAAATGCAAGAGCCTGGTACAGGCGGTTTTAGAATATTGTGGAATGAACTTGGTGCCAGTCATGGTAGAAAGAAACTGAACTACCTGTCGGAAGGCATATGGTCTTAACAGAGACTTTGCATAAGTGCGGTCCTAAGACTGCTTCAGGAGAGGCAAAGTCGATAGGTCCTTCTTCTGCTAAATCAGCGAACAGCTTAAGGCTAGTGGAGTCCAAGCAACTCCCGGATCATGAGAAGAACGCAACATCAACATGGGGCCATTGAATTAGTTTGCAAAACTCCCACACATGGCAAGCAAGATTGGCAAACCCCAAAGTTTCAGGGTCCACATGAGTCTTCGGGTACTTAAGTCTCAAGCAACGCAAGCAACGTTGCCCCAAAGCATCCTGGAAGCGATGTCCATCCCAGGGTTCCAACCACATGCTCAGAAGGTGGTTAGACCCCCCTGGCACCCACCCCAACCACCGAACCTCAGGAGGTGGGCCAGGAGCCCTAGGGTCCATCCTAGACCTAGACCAGTGCATGAACATTGACTTTCACACCTTCAGGTGGTCACCTCGTTGATTTGGAACGTGACCCTCCTCCCGGCCACGCATTTCGACGTGCGCGACGTGATCTCCTTCAGCATCGCCGTGCGCATCGTGTTCGCCGTTCTCACCAAACGAGTCATGGCATTTGGACGTCGGTGGGCGAAGCCTTCGCGGGAAGATGATGGGAAGATGGCGAATATGAACGTTTTCTTATACAATCAGTCCCTCAAATTCATCAACATGTCCTTCCTTAACCAACTCTTTCCAAGTTCCTTAAGCAAGTCCAATGGCATGGCTGTGATCGTTTTTTTGAAGCTCCTCCTCAGAACTGTGGGCTCAGGCTGACGGAGACGTACAGTCTCACAACTTGCTTCTCGTAACATTCCAATGGATGGATGATCGATTCTGCCAAGAGTATCCAGGTTAGCCGTTAGCCAGACTTATTCGCAGGGACTTTACATGGCTTCATGAGTGATTTCACCATGGCTTTTCAGCAGAATCAGAACTTTGACCCTTCAAATGTTGGACCCAAAACGAGGAACCTGGTGCTTCATCTTCTGCACGGTGCTGGCCTTTGCACAGTTCGCACGCATGGCGAGTTTGCAGCAGTCCTCCTCCATGTTCTCGGTGGGCTATGGTTTTGCATTCACCTTTGCGGGAGTGGCCGCGGCCCGGAGGCGCGAGGCCGCGCGAGAGTCCGCGCGAGTCCCAGAGACTGGAGGAGACAGCGAGATTTGTTTATGGTGACGGGAGAGGTGCTTCTTTCAATGCATCCAAAGATATTCCGATATTTCCCAGACACGACCCATGGGACTGCCGTATATGCCGATCAGTTGGGGTGGTTTTGAGGATCAATGTAGGCATATATGGCATACATGGAGTGTCTGGGTTCGATGGTGTGGAATAGATATGACATTGACCCCTTTTCAACCCACCCAATATAGCTATATAGGTAAGGGTTCCAATACATGGAGTATCATGATGATCATGGAGTGTTTGGGCTTGGAAAGCCAAGGTCAAATCATCCTAAACAAAAGAACCCCCGCCGTTTGGTAGCTCAAATCGAGCTCCTGGCTTGTTTCTTCCCCTTTGGGCTGGCCTGTTTCCTACTCAGGTAGTTCCCGCGACCCCCATGCTTCACGCACTCGACCCATCGCACCGAACCGAGCACGGCCAGCCCGGCTGTAGAGCTCCCCCATCACATCGGCCGCCCATCACCGCGCAGACGTCCCAAAAAACCACGGAGTCGTCGCAAAGACTCCTCTCCTAGACCGGGGGTGAGTGGGACGAAAATCAGGTTGTTGGAGGAGAATGCCACTTTGAAGCTGGATTTGCAAGGTCGACAAGTGGAGCTTGGAGCTGTCAAGTCCTTGCTGACTGTGTGCTATGATGCGGTGGTCGAGGTCTGTTTCAAGAGATCTGGGAGCTTTTGTTTGTTTTTTTTGTTTGTTTTTTTCCTGAAAGACTCCACATCTCTTTCCACGACATGGAACATCAACACACAGTCAGAGATGTGGTCTTTCGGTCTTTCTGTTGTGTGACAACGAGCAACTCCACCTTGGAGGGACCCAAGAGGTGAACGACCCCCGGAACTCAACGGATAACCCGCAAGCCCTAACGTATATACGTTCTTTTTTGGGATTCATTCCCCCCAAACAAAGTATATAGACGGATGGAACTGATTCCGTCCTTTCTTTTCCAGCGATCTCCAGGGATCTCTGACTCTGACTCTCTCGAAGCAAGATTCCCTTGAAGCAAGAGATGTTTGTCTCGCGAGGTCGATGAGACCTTACAGCTTACAGACGATTCACGACAGCTCTCGACCATGTTATTGCACAGTGCACCCATTGATGGGAAGGGCTTAGCTGGAAGGTGTTTGCTGGACCTCTTTCCAGAAGAAGACCAGGTATCCCGGGATATGTTTGTGTCGGTTCGCAGTTTGTTTCGATCTGGCCGCAGTACAGGTGTCCCATAGTCATAGATGGAGTGTCCTTGTGCAAACTTTGGGGTGGTGATAAGTGGATTTTTTTTACATCCTTTTGCTCCTGCACATTGTCTCTACAGAATTGGACGGGGTGACCCAGGATATAGACAATGATTACTTAATTGACTTAATTGTAAATCATTTAAGACACATCCGGGTGAAATTGGCTTTGGCATTTTGATGTATGTTGTAAGGGGGTAAACTGATATGATAGGTACCAACACCATGCTAATCTACAAAAATGTTGTTTTTTTGTTCCCGGGCCCATGTTATTCTTTTTGTTTAAGGTGTTTTTAGGCACATTGTGTAGAACAGACGTACGTTTGTAGGGAAACTTGTGCAGGGGGAAGAATGGGAAAGATGTTTGATCATGTTTGATAGTTTGTGCTGACTTGAAACAGTTGCACATCTACAGAATGTATTGGGCACTTTTCGGAGCGCCCGGAGGTCATTTCTGCATCATTCTGCAGAGCTTGGCTTTTTTTTTTGCAGGAATGTGGTTTTGAGACGCCTTCAGTGTTAGTTACAACCTCATCCCTTTAATTCGAAGGGGGTGTTCTTTTTTTCAATAGGGAAGACTGAATATAGTTAAGTTTGGTTGAGTTGTACGAGCCGGCTGGAAGTTTTCCGCTGACCGGAACGACTGTCAGGTACGCATCTCTCAGCAATTTCAATCTTCTGTTGCTTCTGACACCACGTCCGTCATGGCCCTATGTGCCGACATGCTGGATTCAGATCAAAATCATGTGACTGGGCTGTTTTGGCATCGCTCTGGGCTGCTTTTGCGAGGCTTTCCTGTGGCTTTTTCCAACAAAACTTTAGGAAAGATGAGACTATAGTCTTGTAACAATCCAAGCATGGATATATAATGGACTACACTTCTTGGAATCCTGGACTTATATAACATGTCCTAAATCTTCCAGTTATAGAACAATAGCCCGAAACCACTGGGACCAAGTTGAGCCACCAGGCCTCGATAGGCCTAGAATGTTGGATGTTGAATAACCCCCCCCAGGCCTGAAGAGGTTTTACAATCCACACGGGCCGGCGGGTTATGAATCAACCGTCTACCATGGTTCTTCCCGAAAAACGACGATGGTGCCAAGACCGAGTACCGGCCTTTGGTTCCGCCAGACACGAGTACCCCGGACGGAACCTTGTTCACCGGTGAGCTGGCGGTTGAAGCTCGTCCGATTCACCAGGTGAAGGTGGAGCTCTTCCATGCTCAATTCCGAACTTTGACTCACAAGAGATGCTTTCTGGTGGGCGTGCGTGGCCTGGGAGCACCCAGTTGGACAGGGCGCCGGCACCGTGCTTTCGACGCCAAACGTCCTCCAGTGATTTTGGGGGAATTGGTTTGACTCCGCTGGGCGACAGAACTTTCGCACCGGCGCCAGCAGTTGCACTGGCACCAGATGACTAGCGTGAAACATGTTCCATCACGTCGTCAGAGTCATCAGCGTACTCGGCGCAACCCAAGCATCACCAAAGCATCACCTTCGCCACAACATCACCGGTGCAACTGCCTGCCTTGGTTTCTCCAAGTATCCAAACAGAATTATAGAATCCAAGCAAATGTGTTTGCACCTGCACCTTCAAAGGGGTCACCAATGGAAGTCCCTACACCACTTAGGGATCTCCATTAAACACCCCTTGAAGGTCTATAGGCACCTGCTTCCACCCAGCTTCCACCTGTTACACTTGGATGAACAGACTCGGCTCGGTGCAAGAAGGACCGGACAGAGTTTTCCAGGCGCGCCCTGAATTGCCATGAACATCCAGGCGTGCCATGTGTGACTAAGATCACCCTTGGTAGGATTGGCAAAGCGAGGGCTTCAGGATGGAGTCATGTTCACCTCACCGAACGCACGGGGGAGTCACTCAACATACCTGCGGTCCAAGTGGAGCAGCGAGGCTGGAACGCTTGAGGGGGAACCAAAGTTGCCAAGAAGTCACGGATCCGTCATGCAACTTTGCGAGCTATACAGTATATCGGGAGGAAATTCTTACGGAGACGAATAGCAGGAGGCTCTCATTTACAGGAGAAGAACATCCGAGACGCCGAATCGGATACGAAGCATTCGCGGAAAACCGCCGAACACCGCGCAGCCTGCCGTGCCGCACATGGATTGTTGCTTTCCCCCCTTTGGTGAAGTCCCAAGAGTTCTCTTGTAATATATTATACCGCCTTAAAACCCTTAAAGCTTAAGATCAACATATCCCTAGGGCTCCAAGTACCGCCTCAAAAGGTATTTGGACCCTCCTGGCAACCACCCCAGACACCTTCTGCGGAAGTACTTGGAGCCCTAGGGTATATATAATCACTGTATTGATTCTGACAGTAATCTGTCCCAACCACTTCGAATTCCAAGGTGAGATCCAAGTTGCAGAGCCTCATCTCGGAGGAAGTGCTGCGGTCTCTCCCACTTTGTCCAGCTCTCCCCATGCCTCTGATCTCACCGTGACCTTTGAAGTACCCAGCTGCGTGGTGAAATTGAAGAGGCTGAGGTGGAATGAAGCAGAAAGCTGTAGAGGTGTGGTCACTTCTATATCAGTGTTGTTTTTAGTCGGGTGCTCAATAATGCACCATAGGCCTTTGCAAGTTACATCCAAATTGTATGTTTCATGTTCTGGGGACCAAGAACTGACTGCCAATGGTCCAACTTCTCATGTTAGTGACTGTCAGTCTTGGTGGTGTGTTGTTCCCCACAAGTTTTTGTTAGTGCATCATATCACCGATAATCACCGATATATCACCGATGTCAGTCATGCTTGTGAGAACCTCAGTGCTTCCCTCAGTCTACTGGATAGCGTCCTGGAACCTTCTCAGCCCCTTCTCAGCCCAGGCTTCGATATTTTGCTTCTAAGCGAAGAAATGGAACGTTTTTGCTCACTTCACCTGGGACGGCTGCCAGAGAATATTTTGGAGATTTCCAGTGAGTCTACACGCCCTCTATTTTGCGATGTTTTGCAGGTTCTTGCGCCCTGGCTTTACATGCATCATTTTGGATGCTGAGAACTTCTCAGATCCGTTTAAGTGTTCAGCAAAACATGCCAAACTTCATATCTTAAGGTGAAGAGCTACTTGCAAAGGCCACCTGACGAGCGATTGAAAGGGGAGTCCTTTACCTTCAGCCTTATTGGTTCTGGTGATGTGGCGGCCTCCTTCTATGCGGAGCACGACATGCCTCCCGGAGCCAGTGGTAGACGAAAACGATCGGGTTGAGCCAATCGATTTGTTCACTGTGCGCAGAAAAAGACCAAAGCTACACAACGTGTGAACCCGAAGAAGGGACGACCCGAATTTTGTCTCCCATGCACCACTGGTCGTGTGGTTTGACTCTTTGACCATGTGTTTTGCATCCCATCGCCATCCTATGGGTGCTGCACTCACAGCAACATGAAGCAACCCGCCATGTTCACCTATCTGGACCGAGAACCGCTGCCGAGCCGTCCAAGCCGTGACATGTGAAGCACTCCTGCTCGCGAGTCCGAGCAAGACATGCAAAGGGTCCAATGAAGGCAGAAGACGAACAAAAAACAAGAAACAAAAACGATTGAACACTATATTAACCATTAAATGCATTAATTAGTCATATACAGCCCACAACGTTGTAAACAAGCACCCCGGCAACATACCTGGCAAGCCTAAAGTCTGCGCGTTTCAGCTCCCGCTGCACGAAGCCTTTGTTCTTCACCGGGGGCGGGGGCGGGTCAACGGGTCCCACGGGACGGGTCGGTATCCATGGTAGGATGCCTTTTCAAGTGGTGAAGCTTTTGGTGGGCGAACTTCCACCGTGATTCCCCGAACTTCCCCAGGTTTTTCTTTATTTTCCCCCAAGTTGGGCACGGGGCAGTGGAACACCGCGGCAGAACGGATTGAACGCCTGACAGACACCCGAGACGTGTCAGGCTGTTGAATACGATGGTGGGCGTCTTGCGCATCCAGGAGCTCACCTTGCAAAGCTTGACCGAGGCGGTCGGGGCGGAACCAGCGGAACGCCGGCCAGTTCCAGCGTCGGATCAAAGACCACCTCCAAGCACCTGCGGACAAGGTGGTTGGGGTATGCTTTTTGGGTCGAACTACCTTCTGAGGATGTGGGGGGTTGGAGCCCTAGGGTAGCTAGGCCCACATCGGTTATTATGGACCAACCACGATCGCAATGATGTGGGGACAACCTCAAGAACACATGCATCATCCCAGAAGATGAAGGAACTCAGTGATGAGGGGTCATCATGTGAATTGGCAAACATAATATGGACTTGGATTCCTGCAGCTGGAATACATTGCAAGAGTTCCTCCTATGCCATTCCAGAAGTGGCGCCCGAGAAGATTCAAGCGACCACCAGGACACACGAGGCGAAGAAAGGGTTATAAGTATACTGTAGACAGGTCCTCCTGCAGATGCTTAATTCTGTGTTTTTTTGCTTGCCAAATTGCATGCTCAGCCAGTTTGACCACGATTTTGAAAATGAGGTAACATGAGGTAACCTTATAACCCAGACGCTCCATGGGACTGCCATATATGCCGATCAGTTGGGGTGGTGCCAGGGGGGTCAACGTAGGCATATATTCCATACATGGAGCGTCTGGTCATGTGTCTGATTTGGGGCAAGAAGTCCAAACTCCCAAGGTGCTGCGTATTTCGGACCCACTGCTATGAAGGAAACATCGTGACTGCAAAACATATGCAAGCTGAATGGAACGGCCTTCAATAGCTCCAAGGACGAATTGTGAATGTTGTAAGCATGTTGGTGTGAGCTAGTCGGAAATGTGCGTGAAGTTAGCGTGCAATGCAACATGTGGGCGTGAAACTGTACAGATCATCAGCACATCAAAATTCAAATTACTCATGTTCCAGGAACATCCACTGACTCATCCTACCCTACTTGGCAATCATGATCCACCACTCATTATTGCGTAAAATCAGTCATTTGGACTCCTACTGTAGGGTTTTTACCATTTCGAGTTCCCCCAACGACGCCCGCCGCTGTCGGTCGTCGGCAGCGCCGCGGATCCGACCTCCTTGACCGACTGGTCTGTGACTGGTCTGGGCGAAGCGAGCTCCATCCATGGATTTGGGGGCAGGTTTGCCGGACTCGTCGTCCAAAGCTTGGCACTGCTGAAGTCAAGGAGATGCCCATTTATTCGGGTTGAGTAAAAAACAGAAGATACCATGGGACTGAACAGGGCAAAGACGACCATTTGGTCACCCGGCTTTTGGGGGTTCCAAACCTCCACATGAGCACCAACGAGGCCGGAAAAAGAAACGGCACGGATCGTTGAGCCAATATGTTTGCTTTCAAGACCACCTTCCTTATGGGCATGCTGTATATTCCTCATACATATTAGCAATCCATATATAGATCCACATACTCTTTGAGTATACGCTTTTCCGTGTTTTTTTTGTTTAAGTATAACTGGAGGCTCGAAAAAAAAACTGAACATTGCCTTTTGTTCAGGTGCGGTGCACCCCAAGGCTCCAACCACATCCTCCGAAGGTAGTTAAACCCGAAAAACCTACCCCAACCACTTGGTTGGAGCCCAAGAAGTTCTGGCGCCCATCGGCAGGTGGCCAACGGCCTCGCCTCGCCCGCGGTGTCGCTGCGGCGCCTCTCGAGCCAAAGCGAGTCGCGCGAGAGCCGACGGAGAGAGAGAACGTCACGTGCCAAACAGAGCGAGGAGAGCGGTCCGAAGCCATCGGAGAGCGGGATGATTCGCACACTTCACCACATGGCATTGTGAGTGCCATGGACATTTGCAAAGCGCATTGGAAGTGTTTGGTTCGAAAGAAATCAGCAGGTGTCCTGCCAGTGTTGGGCGAGCCCATCTTGCTTAGTTGAATGGATTTCCGAGGGCATGGCACAGAGCAAGGCTGCTCGGTAACGAGGTGTGAACAATATCACCAGATTGAACGTTGGAAGTCCCAAAACGCACGGCTTGGGGCCGCAGGTGCCTGACTTTGCAACATCATGTAGAAAGAACGGGCTTATAAATGGCTTATAATATATAGTATTATATATGAATCTTAATGACATGAATTTGATTGGTTTCCTTTTCACGTCAATTTCCCTGCGTTGTGATCTACAAACCAATATCATTTAGCTGTGGATCAAATCAATTAATTAAGTTTGCACGCCTGTTTCAAACGAAGTGTTTCAGACGCAGTCTTCCACGGGGCTGCTGTGGGGAATCCGAGCAAGCATTGGCAGCATCGGCTTGAGCCCTCGCTGCTTGCTCGGGGAATGTCCCACGGCCCTTGCTCGAGGAAGAACCTCCATGATTGCGGCTTCCCCCTAGGTCAGCCATAAGTCATGAGATCCAGCAGGAATGCCAAGCCCCAGATGGGGCGAGTTCTAGACTCTATGTTTGATTGAAATTGATCCCGGCCATCCACGCCATACTTTGGTGAAGCATATTCAGTTCAGGATGACTACCAACAGGAACAGGTTCAATTGACGTGTTGTGGCTTGATTCAATAATATATATATATAGGTTTATTTTTTTTTGATCCTGGATATGAACATAGAGCTTGTGTTTTCTCCCATTCAGTCGTTCTGTTGCAGACCAACCACCCGCAGGGCCCACAACATCCTACTTGTTCGGTGTTTGGCCAGCAAACTGCCTCCGAGGGGAAAATGAAGAACAGCGTCCACAGGCGTATATATAGGCGTCCACTATACATGCATCAACGCCAGAACTTCGACTCCCCTAGCTATCCAAATACCTTCTCAGGTTAGGTGATTGGAGGCACTGTTATGTAGGCTTGAAGGGTCCAGTCGTACCTTCTGAGGTTCGGTACGACTGGAAAAATAGGGCTCATGAACAGATTCTGGTTTGATGAGTCGGACCCGTTCCACCAAGCTCTTGAGGGGAAGCAACGATGGAGAGAATGGATCTCGATTGAGGCCAGGCTCTGGCTCCGTCGGCGCGCAACCCGTGCGCTCCCACCGGCGGAGCCGGTGATTCAAGACCGGAGCTCAGCTGTAACCTTCGTCACCTGGCGGAAACGAAGGGAAAAAGGTCACAGACTGATGCGAAGGAAGACAGGTGGTTTGGAGAATTGTGTTCTTACAGGTGGTGTGACCATGTATTCATCATCTATGTATTCAGTGTACCTTGTCGCTTCTTCCTATGACTGTCTCCAGCTGGGCAGCAAAGCGCCCAAGAGGGGAGGTTGCCCTATGAAAACATCGCCCGGAAAAAAGGCTTTGTCGTGACAGAGGCACGCTGAGTTTGGTAGAAATAGCTGCCAGAGGCTAGCCTTTGCTTGATTTGTTCATCGATTTAGCTTCCAAGACCTGTTGAAACCATTGCCATTTGTTCGAGAACCGAAGCTGCAACTGGCTTTGTCTCCAGAGCTTTGCTAGCATGGAGCAAGAGACGCTTTTTCATGTGGGCGCTGTGATCATTGAAGCGGCTGTGCTGCTGAGGCTTAGTTTCCTGATCTTGAACTGGTGGGTTGGTGTGGAAATTGTGGATGCCAACTAGATGAAACCAGCGAATATATTCTACATAGACGTGATGTGATTAGATTGCAAATGATGGCAATTAGCTTGTAACCGGGACCAGTTTGCAAAAGATTTGGACTGATTTGGTGTAGGATGGGGTGCGAGTGGCAATGGTCATGGTGGTAATTAGTGATGAGGCTGAAATTGATGCCAGCCAAGCGTATCAGCACCGAAGCGATGGCGGGGGAGGGAAGGTTTCCAAAAGGTCGGCAGAGGCAAAGCTCCCGTCAATTCCTGCTGGTACTTGGTGCCATCCTGGAACTAATCCTGTCCACCTATAAAAAAACACGGGGTCCCCCCCCCCCCGCCCCCTATTAAGAGAAACTCGGTCGCTTTTGTTTTAATAGGGGGTCCCTGCAATCGGGGGGGTCCAAAATAGGGTCACCTGGGAAGAGCTTCAAAACAAAACAGTCATCCAGAAAAGGTTTATATGTAATGTTGGATCCTGATTAGTAAAGGGGGTCCCCCCCCCTCCCTCAAACAAATAGGGGACCCTCTATAATAAATTACCACCAAAACAAATCTGGATTCCTGTGAGGATTCCTTTTGTAATTGATTGTAGTATTCATTTTCCGTTCATAGATTGTATTCAGTGCATTCAGCTTCCTTTCTCAGGTGCTTTGTGATTGTTCTCAGCAATCCTTTTTCTTTGCAGCCTCAGATCTTCAGCTCAAGAGAAAGCTATATCAGCTAATGAATCATAATCATTGGCCTCAGGAGATAAGTAAAGGAAGATTCCATGAGCAAATTTTTCCAGTGGAAAACAGTTTTCACAATTGAGAACCCAAAAACAAATCTATTATTGAGGATCAGGTGCCTTCCTGGTCTACGACCTTGAAAATTTGTTTAGGAACAATGTTTTATAAAGGGTTTAATTAGGAATTGGTGGTTTTGGTCAGCTGTCAGTTTTGAAGAAACCTGTCAGCTTTGAAGAAACCAATATAAAACAAGATGGGGGACACTCTTGTGGGACACTCTTGTGGGTCACTCTTGTAGGAAACTCTTGTGGGACACTCTTACAGGACACTCTTGTGGGACACTCTAGTGGGACACTCTTGTGGGACACTCTTGTGGGACACTCTAGTAGGAAACTCTTGTGGGACACTCTTGTAGGACACTCTTGTGGGATACTCCTGTAGGACACTCTTGTGGGACACTCTTGTGGGGCACTCTTGTGGGACACTGTTGTAGGAGACTCTTGTGGGATACTCCTGTGGGACACTCTTGTGGGACACTCTTGTGGGGCACTCTTGTGGGACACTGTTGTAGGAAGCTCTTGTGGGACACTCTTGCGGGACACTCTTGTGGGACACTCTTAAGGGACACTCTTGTGAGACACTCTTGCGGGACACTGTTGCGGGACACTCTTGTGGGACACTCCTGTGGGACACTCATTTGGGACACTCTTGTGGGACACTCTTGTGAGACACTCTTGCAGGACACTCTTGTGGGACACTCTTGTGAGACATTCTTGTGGGACACTCTTGTGGGACACTCTTGTGGGACACTCCTGTAGGACACTCTTGTGGGATACTCTTGTGGGACACACTCTTGTGGGACACACTCTTGTGGGACGCTGTTGTGGGACACTCTTGTGGGACACTCTTAAGGGACACTCTTGTGAGACACTGTTGCGGGACACCCTTGTGGGACACGCCTGTGAGACACTCATTTGGGACACTCTTGCGGGACACTCTTGTGGGACACTCTTAATGGACACTCTTGTGAGACACTCTTGCGGGACACTGTTGCGGGACACTCTTGTGGGACACTCCTGTGGGACACTCATTTGGGACACTCTCGCGGGACACTCTTGTGGGACACTCTTGTAGGACACTCTTGTGGGACACTCTTGTGGGACACTCTTATAGGACACTCTTGTAGGAAACCCTTGTGGGATACTCTTGTCGGACACTCTTGTGGGACACTCTTGTAGGACACTCTTGTGGGACACTCTTGTAGGGCACTCTTGTGGGACACTCTTGTGGGACACTCTTATATGGACACTCTTAACTCTTGGGAGACACTCTTGTGGGACATGGCTGCGGGACACTCTTGTGGGACACTCTTGTGAGACACTCTTACGGGACACTCTTGTAGGACACTCTTGTGGGACACTCTTGTCGGACACTCTTGTGGGACACACTTGTGGGACACTCTTGTAGGACACTCTTGTGGGACACTCATACGGAACACTCTTGTGGGACACTCTTGTAGGACACTGTTGTGGGACATGCGGGACACTCTTGTGGGACACTCATACGGGACACTCTTGTGGGACACTCTTGTGGGATACTCTTGTAGGACACTCTTGTGGGACACTCTTGTAGGAGACTCTTGTGGGACACTCCTGTAGGGCACACTCTTCGTACGAGACTTCCTCCAAAAGTCACGCTGCGAGGCTGCAAGACGAGCGTTTCGTACGAGACTTCCTCCAAAAGTCACGCGTCAAGTCTCAAAAACGAGCGTTTCGTACGAGACTTCCTCCAAAAGTCCAGCGGAAACACCCATCGGAGCACACACATCACGCAGCCCTGCCAAGCAATTTCGCGATTCCAGCCCCTCCAAGCGACACCCGCTCACACGCCAATCCCAATGTGACAGCGACATTCACCTCTACCACAACTCACAACCTCCCGATTCCCTGCGCCTGCCACGAATCTTTCCGCGTCCACACGTCTAACGCGCACAAAGTACTGCGCCTGCCACGAAATGTCACCTCCGTCACACATCGCAACCTCACGATTCCCTGCGCCTGCCACTAAATTCCCACTTCCACACCTCAAAACCTGCACAAAGTCCTGCGCCTGCCACGAAAAGTAACAATGTCATCTCATGTGAGCTTCACCAAAATTTGCACCACACCACACGTTTGGAATGATTTCGACCCGTTCTGAGCACACTCCCAGGGTCCAAAATCAGCATTTCAGCTGAGACTTGTCACGAAAACAGAGCTTCGATGCCACACCCTGAAACGCAAATCCCAATGGCACGGCCACATCCAACACCCCAAAAACACGACTCTCCAAGCGCTAATCCCAATGGAACTGCGTAGCAAACTGCGGATCTCACAAAACGCTGCGCCTGTGCAGTGAAACGCATCACGCTTCTTGCGCAACATGTCCTTTTCACGCAAATCACAATGGACTCGCGTCGCAAACTAACACGTGACACATCCATGCATAGTCACTTGCAAAAGCTTCCCCCAATGGCAGCGCCTGAGCGACCTACTGCGGACGGTTGCGGACGGTTGCGAACGGTTGCGGACGGTTGCGAACGGTTGCGAACGGTTGCGGACGGGTGCGAACATAGAAGCAACGGGTCGCGAACAAGGCTCTACCCCCAGACCCCCAAGAGTTAAACGAGAACCCTTCGCTACGCATTCGGGAAAAAATTAGGGTCACCCAAAAAAATTAGCATTATTCAGAACCAATTTTTCAAACATGGGGTCTGGACTAATTTTGTAGAAATTTAGCATTATAGAGGACATTTACTAATCAGGATCCAACATTTTCCTTTTTAAAACTCGTATCAAAAATTCAAAAAACCTCCAGATCGTAGGGTCTTCCTTTTCCCCTACAAAAACCTTGATTAGAATAACTGATTCTTCATTAGACTAACAACCAAAGCTATCGAAAGGTGATGTCGCTGTGCCATGCGGTTTTGCACGACCTCGGTGGCAAGTGCGTTTGCGTGAGTCCGTGCCATTGGAGTGTGGGCAGTTGCGGTTCTTTTTGGAACCTAACAAAAGAGACTACCCCCAAAATCGACCATGTTGGTAGTTCAGTAGCGGCTTGAAAGGGCTGTAATATGCTGTAATTTACAAAATATAGTCTGAACTTTAGTTTTCGGACGTGGTGTTTGTTGATTGGGGAGGCTTTTTTAATAGGTCCTCGGGATTAAGGGGGGCGTGCAGGAATATTTTGGATTAATTACAGAAGAGTTGCTTTATGATGTCTTATGATATTCCTACATGTTCCCACAATCCTGCAGGATAGGGATTTGTTTGTTTCCCAGTATCTCAGTGGGGTAAGAGTTGGAGGGACAACTTCAATCCATATCTGGAACAAACATGGAAGTGGAAAACCACCTGTTTGTAGTGGTAAATTGTCTTCCAAGGGACCTTGCTCCACTTTCATGTTAGTTCCAGGGAGTGTATGACTGCGTTGGTGAACTCACCAACAAGATACACACTCAGACTCGCTCAAACGGTTGTGGCCACATCCGGAAGATTTGGTTCATGGCCTCCATGCCACCCACTCATTCCACATTCATATTGGATGGGTATCATATATATATATATACATGGAACATTTGCAGGACATAGTTCTCAACCTCCAAAACCATGGGTTTCCAGTCTGTCTTCCCTTACGCCCGTGGTTCTTCACCCCCCAACAACGATGGGCTTGCTGGAGCCCAAACCAAATGGCTGGAGCACGTCCGAACGCCCTGCGAATCGCTGAGGTCTTTGGCTTTCCTCCTTCGGGTTGCATGGCCTAAGGTCCTCGGTGGAGAAGCTTCGTGCCTGGTGGGGCCGACGTGCCAATGTGACGGAGGCCAGACAGAGACTCGGCGGGGGAGAGGCGTCTCAAGCGGCGGCGTTTGGGCACTCCATGTTTGGACACACACACACACACGCACATCATCTATATCACTACAATTCTATATATATATAATATATATATATAATATTATGTCGAAACGTATGTAGAAAAAATCTACACATGAGAGGTTGACAGCTGAAACCATACTGTAGATATATATACCATGGAGGAGTGGCATAATGGGAACATGTGCGACTCTCTTCAGTTGGGTCCAACCAATTGTGACACAAATGGGCATCCAAAAACCCCCAAGTTGCCGATGGGCCTTGAAGTCGTTTCTCCGAGCGACTTCTCCGTTTTCCCCAGGGAAGGCTGAGTAGATCTGGGAGGTAGAACGCAGTTTGGAGAAATGGATGGACATGGGAGATCCGTCCGCCCTGGCTGTGAACTGGCGAGCTCCACATGTTTTCAGGGAGCGCACCCCGTTATGTTCAGATCTTCCAAGAGAGAGAGAGAGAGAGAGAGCGAGGGAGACAGAGGGAGGACCTTGTCGGAGGAGACAAGTGTTCCTCATTCTAGTCCAAGCAGGTCCCCCTTCTCCCTCCTGTTCACCTTTTCTCGGACCCCCTATTATGTGGGGGAGGTGAATGGACCCCCCCTTAAGCTCGAGCCGCTGGCAAAACCTGGACACGGTGTTTTTCTACACACCGGTCACCGAGTCGCCGTGCGGTGCGACCGCATGCGACCCCATGCGACCGCGAAACAGTGACCAAGGATGGAGCAACAGACAGCTTTGGAGTTGGACGTGTTGCGCTGCAGGGTGACGTGTCAAATGTGGAACGTGCTTTTGGCCCTGGCACTGCTGCGCTTCGTGAGTGGGCCACCCTGGCGATGGACTGAAGAAAGGTTTTGCCAATCTGACGTGGTGGTTCAAACCTCCAGACTCCATGGGACGGGTTTTCAGGGGTGTGAAAAAGTGGGGAAGGACCTCCATAGTCCTTTCGCATGGAGTTGGCGGCCTGAGTATGCCACGGCTAGGCATACTTAGGCCTTCAACTTAAGGTCACTTCAAAGTAAAGACCTCGGAGCAAGTCATGCAAGATGCAATGTTTCCTTTGCTTGACTTCCTGTCTCTCAGGCAAGTTCTGGCAGCCTTAAGGCTTCCACGGCTCTTTCCCGAATTCGATGTTTCCTTCTTCTTCTTGGCCGTGGTCGGGCTCACCCTGAACTGCAAGCCCTCTTTGATAACCCCCAAAAGCCTGGATGCCTGGCACGTGGTGACTCACGTGATATGGAATGCGTCGATTCTGGTGGCACGGGAGATCGACGTGCGCGATGTGATCCTCTTCACGTTTGCGACGCGTTTTATGTTTCTGGTCTTGGCCAAGCGCACGTGGTGCTTCCTTCTTTGTGCACTGGTGACCTGTAGCAATATGGGCTTCATGGCACTCAGGCAAGGTGAAGCCAGACTTGCGGATGGCCAGGACTCATTGTTTGTGATTCTCTATGCCCTTCTCCCCGGCTTGGTGGCTATCGTGTTTGCCCGCAAATTACTGGAGGAGAATGCCACTTTGAAGCTGGACCTCAAGAGTCGGCAAGTGGAGCTTGGGGCTGTCTCGTCCTTGCTGACCGTTTGCTATGATGCTGTGGCGGGGTGGCCGCCCAAAACATGCCGCAATGCATCACAATACACAGAACGTGTTGATTCCGTTTGATTTTGAATCCGAGAGAGTTGGCGAGAGAGAGATTCTGATTGATAGTTCAATTCCTTTAGGTTGGGTCTGTCCTATTACCTGTAACTGTCAGCAAAGAACCATCACTATCAATGAACAAGGCCTTTAGTAACCATCATCATCCACTTTTATCGGTCATAGGATAGACAGAGTCTTAGAGGATCCATCCTGGGCTCTTGGGCTTTTCATGAGGTGGAGAGCCACCCTGAGTCCACTTTTTCACTTTATTTCCTATAGGTTTCCTGGCCAAGTGAGGTGGAGGTGGACGACAGCTTGAGCTTGACGGATGATTCCCGACAGCTCTCGACCATGTTGCTGCACAGCGCGCCGAGCGGCAAGGGATTGGCAGGGAGGTCGTTGCTGGACTTCTTTGCCAAGGAGGACCACACGCGCATCTCCGAGCAGTTTCAATCCTCCATAGCTTCCGAAAGTACCTCAGTCATGGCCCTCAATGCAGATATGCTGGATTCGGATCAGAATCATGTGAAAGTTGAACTGTTCCACGCTCAATTCCAGAATCTCGCCAACAAGAGATCCTTCCTGCTCGGAGTGCGGGAGATCCAGGGTGGCGAGACAGTGGATCCTATGACGAAAGCATCACCAAGTGTGGACTCTTGTCCTGCCATCGGCACGCCTGGTGCACTCTCGGTCGTTTTTGATGTACCGAGCTTTGAGATTTTAGTGCTAAGCGAAGACTTGGAGATGCTTTGCCAAAGCTGCCTGGGCAAGACCCCAGAGAATGTCGTGGAGATCTCCAGCGTTTCAAAGCGTAAGGAATTTGCTGGTGTGTTGCAGACCATGACCAACCACTCGTTTCACAGCGCAGACGCAGACGCCGGTCACGCGAAGGAGCAAACATTTACCTTCAACCTCTTGGGGGCCGGTGAAGTGACTGCCTCCTTTCTGGCAGAGTACCTTGGCCTTGTTGCCTGGTCACGGTCGACAAAACGGGCGACCGAAGCCTGGTGCAGTCGGCTCCACCGGAACTCGCTTCGGTGGTTATATAAGGTGAACCTGGGGGAGCCCTTAGAGGACCCTTTGGCGCACATTCCAAAACTTGCCGCCTCGCGACCTTCCAGATCAGGGAGGCTTTCGACATTCACAACTTGAAAGCTCAAGAATCGTGCTATGACCTACATACCAGCACCCGACTCTACAGGTCTCCTGTGGTGGCTTGTGGAGACTTAAAAGTGACAGGTGGCAACCTATTGTAGGGTGCTAGTATAAAGGATCGGAGAAGGATGTCGCTCCTGCCCAGACACCACAAACAGCCCTTGTACAGGTACCTCAAAACAGAGAGGCCTCCTTTATACATCTTCATGATTATTTATGTTTATTCATCTATAACCTGCAGTGATTTGCTTCTATATAAACCAGCATCAACCAGTTCCACTGGTTTGTAGACTCCCCTGCCGGTCCAATTTCCTTCCAATAACCAGCCAAACTGGATGGCGCTGGTATAATATGTTCTACATTAAAATATATAGACTCCCTCAGTTTCTTTGGGAGATAAATAGGCCAACCTTTTTCACCTGTTCTTGTTTTGGTGGAGAAACCCACCCTTCAGGTGATCCACTTTTCCTGGGTAGCTTGACCATCCAGGAATCGGGCGATTCGCCCCATTCCAGCTTCGTCTCGTGCTCACTGATGAAGTCGTTCAAACCGTTCGACTTTCAGAGAGCTACCAGTTCTCAGCATAACATTCTACTATATGCCACTAGTAACAAGTGCCACGCTACTAGTAACAAGTGCCTTACTAGTAGTAACAATAAGCTATTAGAAACAATAAGCTACTAGATGCTACTAGTAACAATTAATTCCCCTAATGAACAATCCTCCAAAGGAGACGGGGTTGGAGGGTGCTGGTATGGTGAGTGTGCGACAAAAATAGGGAGACCTCCCAGGCAACGACCTCCTAGTTTCGGTTCGGAAACTAGACCAGTCTACCCTAGTCTACCCACTGGTCCAGGGTGTCTCCCTATTAAAATGCAAATACCCTACAAGTCCCAAAGACCCAGAAGTCCTTTACCTTCTTGAACAGTGTTTTGGTATGACCAACTTCAGTAAATTGAGGTCATTGACTTATAGGGACATATTTGTATCACAAATCAACTATGACCAGGTGTCAATGATGTGCCCCCCCCAAAGAAGATTGACAGCGGTTTTATATCTCCATGACTCCATACCCCCCTTCGATGATGCGACTGGCATATTTACCGAGAAGCGGGATGTTGGGGTGTTTGGGGGGGTAGAAATGGTTCTTCTTGTCCCGCACATGCTGTGTTCCGAATCTCCATCTCAGGGACTTGATGAATCAAGAGTCGGCATGAGGTGGGTTCTCAGTCAGGTACGATATGCTCTTAGACACGATGGTGGGCACCGTGAAGATCCTCTCCGAGGTCCGGAGTCTGGTCGAAAGCCACGCCTTTTTTCTGAAAGATTTGAGATACACGAGATCTGACAACTATCTGCCATATATGCCTACATTGGGGTGGTTTTGGAGGCCAATGTAGGCATATATGGCATACATGGAGTGTCTATAGTTAGGAGGCAAATCAGAAGGATGGCACTTGATTTCAGGCACAAGGTGGATAGGAATTGTCGCATAAGTGGTTCTGCTGTAGTGACAGCGTGGATCAAAACGCAGGTTCGGCGGCTTTGGTCCGGAAAACATCAAAAACAGCTCCCCTTGTCAAAGTAGTTCTGGCAAAGCTGGTGCAGCAACCTGCATCGCACCTCTGGGGTCCCCAGAATTCCCGAAAGAAGATCCTAGAAGTACCGCCTGCTGGCATTGCGGGGCTTCACCTGGGACCTATGGTGCCGCCCCTGGCGTAGACCTGGCCGTTTGAAGCGTTCCCTTGTGCTTTTTGAATCGGAAGGTGAGCGCCCAGCCACTCAAGAACGTGCCCAACAAGAGCATGATGAGCCGCACCAGCAGTCGTGGCAGCCGTGCCAGCAGCGGCAGCGCGGAGCGCCCGCGCAAAGCGAGATGTGAGCAACGCACTGTCAGCGGCTTGATCAGCAAGCTGCACGAGACGAAGCTGGAATTGTGAGGCGCCGCTGATGGCCAAAGTGCCCAAGAAAAAAGTGGATCACCTGAAGGTAACCTCTTGCACTAAAACAAGAATAGGTCTAGGCGGAACATGGTTAGCATTTACCTTCCAGAGAAACAGGTCATGTTTCTGTGTTTGTGCTGCTTGAAGATTGGCCACATGGGCCATGGGCGTGCGATTCGGGGACGCTGGGACACGCTGGGACTTGGAATCCCAGAATCTTGGGTTTTAAGATCCTATATGCGAGGACCCTCCTGTCGGGGTGTCCTGGCTGGACTACCCCACACTACCGGCCTAGGCTTCCAGACAGGGCACCCCTTGGAGGGTCCTATATGCAGAATGTGTGTTTTGAATGTCTTTGCACGACTTGAGATCGCATCACCGCATCGTGGGACCTGGTGTGATCTGGGAGTTTGCCCTAAGGCAGATTCTCCAAGGCCGGATGTTCCGACTATCCCGACCTTGGCAGCCGAAAAAGCAGGTCAAACATGGGTCGAACACGAGAGACGTGTCCACATGCTAAGCAAGCCAACCCACTGCTCATGAGTAAGCTTAGTTTCCGCTTGATCGAAAAGTAAGCGATTGGAAAGGTAGAAGATGAGAGATGATAAGAGTTTGTACTTTCTCACCTCACTTCTGAAGAAGACTGAGGTGTCCTTTAAAGTGGCACGGCAGAGATGTATTTCCATGAGAAGGCTTGATGTTTACTAAGTTCTTTGCACACGGCCAGCTTTTCCACGGCTTCTGGCTCGTCGGCTAGTCGGCTAGTCTGTGCACCGTTGACTGGAGGGCGTCAACATCACACACCGTCCCAAAGCAAACCACTGAATCTCCCAGGATTCTCCATTTTCGTCCGTGACGAACCTTCTGTCACAGATGCTTCGAACACGAAGTAACGCAACGCAAAAGGGTTCATCGGCCGCTCCAGCGGAGTTGTGTTCGCCATGGGCCCTCTGATCAACTACAACCTTGGCGTTTTGATCTTTGAAATCGCTCTTCTCCTGAGGCTTCTTTGCGCGATGCGTGCCGGGTGCCGGACTTCTTTTGCTTCGTGGCCTATTCTGCGGTGTACGCCTTGGAAGTGGTGGAAGCAGCTGTTGCATCAGAAACTTGGTGAGCGAACGTCTCGATTTGGGCTAGCCCAAGACCTTCTCAGAAGGTGGACATGCCTGTCATCATTGGCCACCCTACTATTCTTCCAACTGATCGGCACATATGCCAGTCCCAGGGCCAGTCCCATAGCATCGTTTGTGAGTTCTCAGTGCACCTGAGGATTGACCAGCCGACTTCAGAGGAGACTTGGTCGAAGGATTTCGATCTATCGGTGATCCAAAGATTCAATGTTTGAGGCCCTTGAAACAGCCGGACCAGTCTTGCGGTGATGTCCACATGTTTTTGGCTGTAAATTTCGAGGCAAGGCCCACTTAACAAGCATATATTATGTATATATAATAACAATTAATAAAAGATTGATTTCTATATTTCAGCCTTCTTGAACATCAGAACCATACCTGGAACTTCCTCAGAGTGCTTTTGTTCGATCTGCGGCATGAAAACCATCTTTTGGAGTCACAACCTTATATTTGAGTCTGCGGATGTTTCTCTAGTATTCTCTAGTTTTCTGATGTGTTTCTGATATTCCACGGGCAATTATACACAAGCTAAGGGCGTTTATTGGTGAACCACAGGCGTTTTTGCCCAAACGTGGTTAAGCGGATTTTTATGTGGTTCACAGACCTAAATACAGGTATGTTGAACTACCAACCCCCCCAAAAAGGGCAACCATCCTCGGTTGCAGGTATAGATACAAAGCATCGGCCTTCCAAGACCGCTAAAAGAGGAACCCCGGCCTTCCAAGACCGCTGTCCAAGAGGGGAACCACTGTCCGGGACTGACATCCTTTTTGATCACCTACAGCTACCCCTGGGCATATGCTGGATTCACAGATAGAGATGGTGAAAAAGCATTGATCGTCAGTGACGCGGCCCCTAGAAAAACAGGCAACATCTACCGAGCTGCGAAGCTAAGGCCAGGAGTCCCTAGTAGCTTCTTGTTACTAGTAGTGAGAATGCTCCTAGTAGCGATGCCAGGAGCCCCTAGTAGCGTTAGTTGCATAAATAGAAACGCGGACTTCTTTGGGGAAAGCACGAGATGCCGTTGGACCATTCAACCTAAATTGAGGAGCTCGACGGCTTGCGTTGTCGGATGACGAAGCGAGTCTGGGATTTGGCTCTGGCGATTTGCACGGTGCGCCTGGTGAATGGGCAACTTTTGGACTTGTTCGGCTCCAGCCGCCCTGCTCCTTGCCAGGAATTCAGTGCCTTGTGTAGGGTGTTGAACATCATCACCATCCACAGCCAAACCTCTGCCCACCGTTTCGATCTTAGGCCCCCACCCTGTCACTTCTAGAAGCAAGCTAGTAGCATTGCAGTCACTTGACCCTGTCACTTGGCCCCAGCCTCACATGGCCAGTCGGGCCCATCGGCCACACCTGGTGCGGCCCCTCACATGGCACTAGGCCCCACAGTTTGACCTCGCATTCTTCTTCTTGGGCTCCGTAGGGCTCGTGCTGAACTTCAAGCCGGGCCTCATCTCTCCCAGAACTTTGGATGCCTGGTACGTGGGCAGCTCGTTGATTTGGACCTTGACGCTGCTCCCTGCGAGTCGCGTGGATGTCAGGGCAGCTCTGCGGAAACAGGCAGATGAGAGGGCGGACAGGCCGTATCAATGATCACTTTGTAACCCGTACATATACAGCGTTTTCATATATGCTCAAATCTTATAAATAGATATATATATATATACATATATATATATAATGTCGACGTCGGATTAATCAACGGGCCCCCCGCTCCCCTTCAAGGTCAACAAGATGAACAAGGTCTGAGATTGGAGATATCTGAGGACCACATCCCCCTAATAAAGGTGATCACCTGATGATGGTTGATGGGATTCTGTGCCATGAGAAGCCATCAAAAGGATTGGTGAGCAGGATTGAGAGGTGGTGGTGAGAATCAGGAAGATGAGGAGGTTAAGATATTGAATACTAGCAACAAATAAACTAATATTAAATTTATAAATCAATAGTAAACTATATGTTTTTCTGGGCAGCTGGGATTGATTAATAGGGGGAGGTGGTCCTACTATTGGGGGGGTAGAGCCTGTGTGAGGGGTACCCTTTGTGAGCTTGAAAACGTTACGATTTTGATAGAGTTTGAATAAGGGAAATGAAATACTTTTGCTAGAGAATTTGTTGGGTTTTTGGGGATGGGTTGTAGCATGAGACCTGAGGAGAAGCCATCAAAAGGATTGGTGAGCAGGATGAGGCAGTTGAGAGGTGGTGAGAATCAGGAGGATGAGGAGATGAAGATGTTGAATACTAGCCAAACAACATAATAAAGAATATACATACAATAGTAAACTATGTTTTCTGGGGCAGCTGGGATTGATTAATATGGGGGGCGGTCTGGACAGGAATAGTTCTTTTTAGGGTGATGCCAATCTGGAAATCTAGAGTTTAAATTAGTTTAGTATTGGGGGCTCGAGCTGGGATTGATTAATATGGGGGGGTTCATCAATCCTATGTTGACATTAATATATTCACACATGAATAAAATAACATATTAAATTCACAAATGGTGGTCTTTGGGTTCTATATAGATATTGAAATTGCCAGACTTCGGGACTTCGTCTTTGGACCAAGAACATCTGGGCCCCTGGAACTCACTTGACCTTTGTTTTAATTTTGATAGGAAAAGACCATATTTTGTGTGGTTGGTGGTCCAAAATATTAGAGGTCATTCAGCTTCCAGTCCAAGGATTTCATGGTCGTGGTCTTTCCCGGGCGCTTTGTTTTTGGCATGCTGGCCAAGCGCTGGTGGTGCTTTGCGCTGTGCCACCTGGCGCTTCTCATACAGACGCTCAGGATGGGGACGCTGCAAGAGCAAAATGTGATGACCGTGATCCTGCGTTTGTGGCCAGTGATGTTTTTGAGTTTCCCAAACTCTGTGATTAGGAAAGGGATTTTGTTTGATAAGGGCTTTTTCCATGTTCCCAAGAAGCAAATCCAAGGTGATCACGGAGGCAGGAGTCATCAAAGTTTCATCGGTTGAGGTCATTTTGGCTGTCTACTTTGTGACGTGGCTTGTGTTTGTTCCTCAAGCCCCCCAAAGTGCCAAGCATTCAGACTCCCCTGAAAAGCAAAAGATAGCAAACCTATACAATCCTATACATGCAATTGATGGGGTAATCATTGATCATATTGATTACTTATAATATTAATAACCACATAATCGGATACTATCTATGCTGAACCCTGGGGTGTCCTACAATGGATATGTCGGCGGGTCTTACTGCATAAATTCAACCTGGAGAAACGACGGTGTTTTATGTCTTGCTAAGGTGATGTTTATTGCAGTGTTCGTGGCCCGAAGGATGTTGCAGGACAATGCCAAGTTGATTCTGGATTTGAAGGGTCGGACTGTGGAACTCGGCGCGGTCTCGTCCTTGCTGAGCGTTTGCTACGATGCTGTGGTGGCTTCATCGGCCAAAGTCTTGACCCAACATAACCTTTTGAATACCAGGGACCAGGACCATCCAAGGGGTGAACAATAGACTACCTTACACTACCTGGAGATCCCCATTGGACACCCTTTGGATGGTCTAGGTAGTTTCCAGTCACTGAGAGGAAGGGAGAGAGCCACCCTGATTGACTTTTTAGCTTTATTTCCTAGGTTCCCTGGCCAAGTGAGGTGGAGGTGGACGACAGCTTGAGTTTGACGGATGATTCCCGACAGCTCTCAAACATGTTACTACATAGCGTGCCGAGCGGCAAGGGGTTGGCAGGGAGGTCTTTGCTCGACTTTTTTGCCAAGGAGGACCACACGCGCATCTCCGAGCAGTTTCAATCCTCCATAGCTTCCGAAAGTACCGCAGTCATGGGCCTCAATGCAGATATGCTGGATTCGGATCAGAATCATGTGAAAGTTGAACTGTTCCATGCTCAATTCCAGAATCTCGCCAACAAGACATCCTTCCTGGTCGGAGTGCGGGAGATCCAGGGTGGCGAGACCGCGGAGCCGATCTCACCTGCATCGCCCAGTGTGGCCTCGTGCCCCGCCATCGGTGCACGTGGTGCCTTTTGGGTGGTCTTTGACATCCCGAGTTTTGACATTCTCGTGCTGAGCGAAGATTTAGAAAGGCTTTGCCAGAGCTGTCTGGACAAGACTCCAGAGAGTATCGTGGACATCTCCAGTGCATCATCTCGCTATGGCTTTTGTGATCAGTTGCAGCTTCTGGCAAACAGGTCCTTGAACCTGCCGGAAAGTGAAGAAAGGCAGGAACAGACACTTTGTTTTTTGCTGCTTTTGGATGATGTGTTTATGTTTTTAATGTGCTTTTTGGGGGCACATCCTGGCACATCCCTTTCTACAGAATTCGCAAATCTACAAAAGACATGACATGGTGTTTTCGTTTCCAGCTGACATGGTTAGTTCTCCAAGGACCTTTACCTTGGACCTACTGGGGATGGGCGAAGTGATTGCTTCCTTTCTCACTGAGTCCCGCGATGGCACCGAGTTCGCTCGCGCCGAATGCGAGCGAAGGTGTGAAGGTTTCGGATGAACCCCCTTCCCATATGTAGGAATCCAACCACCAATGGTCTTGACCGAGCCAAGAAAAAAACGTTGTAGAAGGATCAAAGGATCTACTGATAAAAACTGGAACTCACATGGAAGTGGGCAAATAGACCCCCGCGAGTTCGGAAGACCATTTGAAATCACCAATCCCCCGGCAATTTTCACACACGTCACCCTGCGAGTTCGCTCGGTTGCAGTGACGGATTCGCTCTTGGCCACCCGGGCGATGGGCGATACGGTCGTCGGTTGGGCCGACGGAAGAGGAGGGGAAGGAAGTCGCGTCATTGAAGGGGGGTCCTAGGTCCCCTTTGCGAGAGGTCGGATAGGTGAACCAGCTGGGCCAAGCTACCATTAGACATCTCTGCCAGGAGGTCTCTCCTGACCCTCTCTGAACATCGGCTCTTCACCCCAAAATCGTGTCGTATTATACTGGATCCTGAACACACGTCCACGAGAGCATGGTAGGGAGTTTCATGTTTCGGGTGTTTGCCGGAATGGTCAGCGGCTCCTGTGGCTCCTACCATCTCGTGCTGGGACGACAAGACATCCCAGACCTCAGTACCTACAGAAGTTTCAGAGTAGATGATGGCACAAACCCCGACATGTCTTTTAGATGGGGGTCCATAAAAACGACCTTGTGGGAGTGGGGGTTGTGCCATCTACTCTGAGGGCATTCTGCATGGATCAGGTCTGTCAGCTCAGGCTTCGGCTATGGTGGCAAAACTGAAGAAATCCAATCTTCCCAGTGGACTTCCCAGGCTTCGGCTGTGCTTGAAGGTGGTTTCGATTGTACCTCAAGAAGGCATCCACTGATCCACACCTTCGGAACACCCACACGGAACACCCCCTGTCCCCTCCCCTCAGGAGCTACGGACTCATGTCCTCCCACACCTCCAGGTATGATCCATTACTTGAGACGACCGTGGGCATTGTGAACCTTCAGGTGCCTCATGATCCTTCGTTGCCGCGGGGATCGTGAGCGGCTAGCGTTCGCGTTTCGTGCGGTGCCGTTTCAAGGTCGACGCTTTGGACAGAGGGTCCTGGAGACCAATGCACCGAAGTCCACCTGGACCTTCAACTTTCGGGGTGTCCTGTGAGGTTGCGGATGTGGTGGGCTGGGGCTGACTGAATCGGTGGCCCCGACATGAAGGTGGTAGATTTTGACTGACTGAAGTCCAAGGACATGCCTTTTCGTGTCACCTTCTAAGACCATTATTTTTATAGTGTTTGACTCCCATGGTGCAAGCGTCTTATTTGCGTATAGAACACTGGTCATACTTGGCTGAATCTGGATTTGATATGAATATATATTATATATATGGATATATATATATATATGGTTGAAGCAGGTTGAAACCAGAGGTGGTCCTGCAACATACCAGCTTCACTCTTTCTGGACCACGGGTTCCGAGGTTCCGAGACACATACCTTAGCGTTCCGCAAAGGTTTGTTGGTTCGGTTCCCGGTCTGAGGAGGTGATGGCGATTTTGTGCACCAACTGACACGGATTTGGTCTTGGATCAACTGACACTTCAGTGACAGATTGGAAAGGACGAGGGGATAGTCCCAGCGTCTGTTTCGGTCGCTGGGGAGAGGCAGGGCAGGTCGAGGAGGAAAGCGAGCATGGGGGACGCGGCGTCTGGTTCGGTCGCCGCGTGTATGAGGGGAGGAGGCAGGGACGGGGTCAGGTCTGGTCGTTGGTGTGGAGTGGGAGAAGGGCGGAGAAAGGGGGAGGGACAGGGCCGGTCGCGTCTGCAAGCGGGAGGAGGAGAGGGCCCAGCGTCTGTTTCGGTCGCTGTGGCGAGGCAGGGGCAGGGCGATGAAGAAAGCAGGGAGGGCGCAGCGTCTGGACTCCAGAGCTCCAGGGCTGTTGTTCAGGTGGGTGTGTGCTAAAATAGATCAAAATAGGACATCCCAGTCCGCCTCTTCCAAGTAAAATGCAACCAGGTGTGATTTTCTTTGCTACTGGTCAGTTTGACCTCATTTGACTGGAGTGGGTCATCGATAAGACGCACATACACTATTCAATGAACTTTCCGGATCAGGTGTGGACCTGGGCCAGACTGGACCTGTAGGTGTTCATATGGCGTGCTAAAACCCGTTTCCGGGTTTTCGCTCAGAATGAGACGGGATTCTGAGACGGAAAACCTCCAGAAGTGCATGGAGGAAATGACTGCTTCTTCAGAAAATGACCTAACTTTGCTCCTCCCCGGACCTGAAAAGTGACCTGAAAACCAGGCATGTCGGTCTATGTTTGACCTTTAGTGTCCGAACCCACCAGGGGAAGAGTCATTCCAGTCACTGTGATCTTCACCATCTCAAAGAGACATCAGTTGGCTACTTGCAGGTGAGCAGCCCAAACGTTACCAAGACCTTCAGCCCGACCAGCAGCCGTGGCAGCAGGGGCAGCCGACTTGGGTCAGCGCGGCTTGCAGCCCTTTCACACGCGAGCGGGTTGATCAGTGAGCTACACCCGAGCAAATTGGGATTGTGACGTGGACGAAGTCCAGTTGCCATCCCGGAATCCCACAGTCACCCAGCTCGATCGTTTTGGATCATTCTTATCAAGCACAGTCCACCAAATCTCGGCTTGTTTTCATGCGGAGCCTAGTCAGCAGACATGGCCTGCCCGGCACCTGCCACGGCAATCTCACAAGTGTGGAAGCAACGTGTTTCTTTTTAGTCTGCCCAAGGCAGAGCCATGTTTTCCCCAATTTGCAAGGCAGGTTGGCGAATCCAGCGTGCAAATTTAGATCACTGGAGCTGAGCCACGCACAGCATGCTGAACAAACAGGGGCGAGGGGCGGAGCAGATGCTGCACCACCAAAGGGTGTTTCCATGCCGGATACATTCTCCATCAAGAGGATTCAAAAGGTCCCCTGGTTCCAATGGTACCGATGCAGCCGATCGCACCGCCGCACCCTTCAAGACCCTTCGGTCGACGGCCTGTTACGATGGAATTGGGTGGATGAATGCAGCCCAAAAAGAGGTATACAAGCATGGATATACTCGGAACTGGCGTGGGGGTGGATGGCGTGGCCGCGTAAGGAACCACCGGTCCAGCACTCGGCACGGCCAAACCGGACGTTCCCGACCCTTCGGGCCGATCTCCGAAGGGTGATCGGCCCGAAGGGTCGGATACGGTTTTCGCCAACGGGAAATGGGTTTTCGTCCTATCCATGTGGTTTCAGAAGGACGATGAGGCACCATGGTTTCAGTCCCCCCCGAAGGGCCTTAGGTTTTTTTCTATGGTTTTTGGATGTTTTTGGTCCATTGAAATCCTTCACCTTGAGAGGGGCTTGGGGACAAACTGCTTTCAGTAGTCGGGTTTGGACTTCTTCCCCACATGACTCATGACCCGAAGAGCTTTGACTGAGTCAGTGCTCGGGGAGTTCAGGATGAGTAAAGCCCTCGCTGAGTCGATGCCAATCCTTTGGAAGGTTGTTTTTCCATTGCACATCTGTCTGAATGCGGTTCAATCAAGGCTGTACTCGTACACCTGCATGGTCTTGGCATGGTTTTGGTGAGGTGAAACATCTCAGCCTCTTTGCAAGCAAAATATTCCCTATACCCAGTGAGTGGTTAAACTTTTAGTTTTTATTTGTGTTTTTTTCCTTATGTGTTTCTTTCGGGGATTCATTTCCCCCACTGCAGTAATATATGTAATATGCATATGAACAGATTGATTTTCCAGGGTTTTTGAGGGGTTTTGATTCCCATAATCGGTCAATATATATGTTGCCAGCCCCGTGCATCCCTGAACAGCTCTCAATGAGCACGAGCAGCAGCTTTTTTCTCATCTTTCTGTGGTGTGATGGCAGGGCACAGATTCGGAGCAACAGTGTCATTCTCACTCTGAAGACAGTTCGTTCTGACGATCTGGGCAAAAACATTTATATAGATTCTAGATTTAATATTTAGACTATCTATAGTCCATTATGCAGGTTCGATAGCTGCTTGGCACCGGGCGGCTGAACCTAGGCCAGGTAGTTAATGAGGACACCACAGAGCATGCTGCAAACTTGTTTGTGCCTTTTCAGGACCTTAGGAGTCAAATGCCGTCAAGATACATTCACTCATTCGTCTGGGTGAAGTAAAGCATTGATCTGACTCAGGACACCACTGATTTGACTGAGCTTACATGGTGTACCCATGTGAAAAGAGAGAAGGCAAAGCTACTGAACAAATCTAAAAAGGCGGTATTTAGATTCAGAGCCCTCAATGCCGTACCAAATACCTTGTGTATTACAAAACTTAGAGCCCAAAAAGGTGTGGATACGCTGATACGTATAACAACTGATCCCTTCCACATAGTGTTGAAAAATCACCCCCCAGTCACCCCCCCTCCACAATAGAAAACGTCCGGTGTCGTTTTTGTCAATAGGGGGTCCCCAAAATGGGGGGACCCGCAAAGATGGAACCTGAGAAGAGCTTCACAATAGAAAGTTTGCCTAGGAACGTTTTACAATATACATTATACAATCCGTTATTTAGTGCTAAAACACCTCTAGATCAAGGGTGTTTTTCCCTTTCCCCTTTTAGAAGCCCCTTTATACAACTATATATAGTGATTCTTCGATATTCTTCGCTTGTAAAGATTTCAACATGTGATGTCGCTGTGGCATGCGGTTTTGCACGGCTTCGGTGAAAAGTGCGTTTGCGTGGCTTTGTGCCATTGGGGAAGGGTGAACATGCGTGTGTAAATGTGGCGAGGCTCTAGTGAGGGGCAGGGTTGGTGTTGATTCCAGTGGGCGGGTACCTCATAGAAAACCATCCCGAACTTACCTATGTTTGCATATAGTGCAGCAGTAGTGGATTCAGAAGGCGGCAATTTATCCGGCATCCGACATGAGTGTCTCTTAACTGGGTAGTGCTAATTTTGGACTATGACCATCACTGCAGATAGCTGCAGGGTTTTAGTCGCAACGTTTATCAGTTTGACCACTGGGCTGTCCAAGATATCCCCGAAGCAGAGAGATGATTATGACTATGCTAAAATATGTTTAAGTAGTTAAGTTGTCTTCATGCAGTCGCCGTGAGGGAGATTTACCCCATCATCAATTGTTGGAGCGACAAAGGGCCATGAGAGAGGCATCCACACATCAAAGCCCACCGCCGGCTAAGTTTGTTGGCTCTCAGCTTCAGGACGCTTCAAGCCATTCTGCACCGCACCATCCAATGCGATGTATTCTTAGACCCTTTGTAGCCCCCTATGCGCTTGCGACTCAGCCCACAAAATGAGTTTCACCCAGCACATGGGTGCCAACACAGGCCTTCTAGAGGGGGTCGTTTTCAATTTTTGGCCCCTGGTTAACACAATTCTTTATTTTTGCTTATTAGGACTATATAGGTTATGTTGATTTTCCCAATTGGTGAGACCCAATCCGAATTACCATTTCTTTTGCAACTTGCCACTTCGCACTCCACACGGGTCTCACACGGCACGACTCCTTCCCCGCCGGATCCTCGCGAAACAATGGACGTCCTGGAAGCCCTCGAAGCCCTGGACCGGGATGCGGTCTTCCGTGTGGGTGCCATCACTATTGAAGCGCTGTGCCTTGTGAGGCCAGGACTTTAGCTTTCCAAACTATAAACTTGGGTGCGATTAAATTCCGGAGGATTTGTCAAAAAAAAACTGTATGTAGTTGCCCATGACTAAACTGGCCCATGTTTGTATTCGGCCATGTTCAAGGCCAGATTCAAAGTGGTCGACAGGTTTTGCAATGCTGCCACTGTAACGATTTTTGAATAATTTTACAGATAATATGAAAGATTATATGTCCACAACAACATGGGGACTTCCAAAGCTAGGTTCATTTGACAGCAGATGGGGCCAATGCGAAAAAGGAATTGGTCAGATCAACCACGCAGCTCCACGTTCATGTTCGCGTTTGGGTTTTGCGTTCGTGGCCAGGGCTCTCTAGTTCGACCGGGCTCCGCGTTTGGCTCGTCTTGGCGCAGAGCGATGTTTGACTGTTTGACTTCCCCCCTTTTTGGCGAATCGCCTTTGAGAGAGACCCTTTTCTTTTGTCATGTTCCCGCAGAAAATCCAGGCTCCAGCCCAGAGAAATCAGAGGATGAACACTCCTGAATCTCCCCATTTTAACCCGGCAAGGCTCATCTTCGTGGTGATGCTCTATCTCAAGTCCCATGGGCTGTTTTCAGCGCAATCGCTACTGCAGGCGACATGTGGCGTTTGGTATGACGTTGTATGACTTGTGTGGTGGCCATGGCACCCAATAGACGCTTTAGTAGGGATTCTAAAATACCACAAACTTAGATTATCAAGATCCACAGACCGTCTCAATCCTTCTCAGAAGGTACGACTGGACCAACCACCCTCCAAAAGAGGGTATGTGTATCCATAGGTCCATCGGCTTTGCGATTTGGGGTTGCCCAAGAGCCCTCTTTGCGGCTTCCAAAGCAGCCCGATCTCGGAGATTGGGCAGGGTAGATCGACCATCCAACGGGGGCTCCCCATGTCTGGGGAGAACCGGTCACCGGTGACCAGACTGACCAGTCACCGGTGACCGGAGGGTCGTTTCGGGTGGTCATTTCGTCGTTTTTTTCCAGGCTAAGTTCCAAGAGTGGTGGTCTTGGTGGAGAGAGCAGCTGGATCCTCAAGCTGCCGAACAACTGGACCTGTGGCGTTGCAGGATGACGCGGCGCTTGTGGAACTTGTGGCCTGGAAAGCTCACGTTTTTTTCAGCTAAACCCGCCAATAATGATGGTCCATGTAGACGAAACACCCCCCGTTTGGTATTATCGGATTTCGAGTATCTCCAGGGCACGCACAGTGCCAGGCACTTCCAGTGCCATGCTCCAGGTAGTGGGTTCTTTGTTATTTCTTCAGGGGCTATATCGGCATAGACTGTGGCCAACCCCCCAGGGCCTTGCCCCAAGGCCTCAGTGCTGTACACATACGGGCGCGCTTTCTTCTTGAGCCTTGAGCCTGGCAGGCTCAAGTTCTGAGCTTTTAAAACTGGTGAGTCTCCCAAATCTAGGTCAGTGAGTCGCCCAGTCTCTTAGAGAAGGTGCATCCTTTTTGGGAAGCTGTGACTCTCCCAACCCCTTCTGAAGTAGTCATGAGAATGAGGGCAGACTGGAATGCAGTGGAGGAGACTTGTTGTTATCCAAATGGGTTTCTGACTGCGTTGTGGGTATACTCTAGTTTTTGGTGCTCTCGCGGGGGTTTGTATATACATATAACATATATATATATATATATATACAAGTTCTTTCTCATGTAGATTCAGCCAGATTTCAGGTGTTTCAGTTTTTTGGGTGAGGAAAGCTTGCCCAGATCATCGGCAGGTTCAGGCTTTGTGTCCAAAAGGAACCCGAGCAGTTCACTCCATTGATCCTACCTTCTCAGAACAGAAGCGGTTTGCATCTGAAGTGTCCCAAGTCCAAAGACCCAGTAAAACCTTGTCCTTGTCACTTGTCCTTCTTGAATAGTTTGTTTGCATGACCAACTTCAGTAAAATTAGGTTTTTTACTCGTTGGGAAAGGATCCATTCGGTTTGTTTTTTGAGGTATTTGGCCATTGGGCTGCTACGGATCATCGCCGCGCAAGTTCGGGGACTGCAGGGATTGCCGCGCGTTATGCCAGAGACTCGCTGGCCAACTGGGCGGAACTGGGGGCGGAGCGCCAGGTGAAAGGGGCAGGTGCCAGGTGAAAGGGATGAACTGAGTTCAGACGGACGAGCCAACCAAATGTTGGCTTTGACACACCTTGCATAGGTTTAGAACATCCACATTGCCGCTCCGTGCGAAACGGAAACGGAAAAGCAAGTCGCACGGAAGTCAAGCTGGAAGCTGGAAGCTTCGCACATTCCTCGGTGTGACCCGAAAGGATCTGTTGTTGGAACATGTTTGAACCAGCCACGATACCCATGGGCTGCAAGTACCTTCTCACGCTGGGTTCGGGTCCAACTCCGGGCGTCCAATGCTTGGTCCAATTCCTTCCAACCATGATCTTCGTTGGGGTTACAGTGTTACAGGTAACTCCTTACTGAGCCTTGTTGTGTTTTTCCCCACCTCAACAGCAAGTGCCAGATCGCAGTGGGCACTGCCGGACCTCAACTGCAAGTGCGAGATCGCAGTGGGTGCTACCGGACCTCAACACACAACACACAACATAACCACAAACACACAACCAACAAGACACAACCAACAAAACACAACCACGGCACACCATCACAGAACCACCACAAACACAAACACACAACCACAAACACAGCCACAAACACAATCAAACACACAACCACAAGCACGCAACCACAAACACACAAGCACAGCCACACAACCACAACACAACCACAAACAAAGCAAAACACACACAACCACAACACAAACACAAACACACCATCACAAACACACCGCCCAAACATAAAACACAAACACAATCACAAACACAACCACAAGCACGCAACATCAAACACACAAGCACAATCACACAACCACAACACAACCGCAAACAAAGCAAAAAACATAACATCACCACACAAGCACAAACACAAACACACCATCACAAACACGCCGCCACAAACATACAAACCACAAACAAGCATCTCAGGGGGCGCTTTTGAAGTAGTCAGCGCTGCTTTTGGCCGGTCCGACTTGCTTTCCACCGCCTTCCCGTTTGGTGTAGGCTGAATCGGTCGGGCTTTGGAGGCTGGTCGTGCTTTGGCCACCTCCTTTGGAACAGGCCCAGGCACTGGAGGCACTTTCGGAGGCACTGCTGCTGATTTTGCAGGTGTCAACGAGACAGGTCGCCCACTCGGCTCCGGCAGCTCCAACTCCGACATTGCAGCATCGGGCAATGAGGGATGAATGACTATAGAACCCTCACTGGCCAAGTGTTTATGTTTACATTTCAGCATTGACTTAATTGTTATTGCTGACTGGCTGATTGTTTCTGTACGATGTAATTGTTTCCTGGTTTGTTTCATGGAGCTCCTTTCTCGAGAGTTTTTCTTGTTTCATTGAAAAACTATGGAAACTGCATGCGCTCCATTGAAGCCCAGTGGCTCAAAAAGTATACATAATTAGAGTTACTCTTAAAAGGAATGAGAGAGAGAGACACTAAGAATCTATGAATCCAGCGGGCAAAAACAAGAGAAGAGTAAAAAGCAGAAACAGAATGCAAAAACTTGGTCAGACCATCTCAGACTGATAGCGCTGCCATGTCCCGACCCCGCAGGCAAAGAAACAGCTGCCAAAGAAGAAGCCGCCAACACCAAAACCTTGGCCCAAGCCAACGCTCCCACAACCCACTGTGCAGCCAGAGGCTGTCTATCCAGTGCTGCCACCATTACGACACCAATACAACCTGGAGATTTGGGGTGAGGCTTCATTGGCACAACATCCACCTCAGCCACCGGCTCTGGGTCATTCGGAGGTCACTAGGCGCATGGCTGTATGTGATCAGTCTGCAGAGATCGAGGGGCACAAGCCGCAAGCCAACGAACAAGCATCACAGAGTTTGGAGAGGCACCACCAGGAGCGAGAAGACCTTCTAGGAGTGGTGAGAAAGTGGAGTGTGTCATAGTGCTGTTGATTTGCTTTGCATAAATCTCAACGCTGAAACAGTGCAACTCCAAGCAAAAGTGCTGAACAAGTGAATCCAGCAGCAGATTGGGCAGCAGGAAGCTTTGCAAGAAGAGTTGGCTGCAAAGCACAAACAGGACCAGAATGAACAGCTACGCCTCATGGACAAACACCAGATGGTGGAGCAGCAACAAGAGGAGAGAAAAGGAATCAAAAGGAAGAGAGAGGAATCGCAATGACTCGGTGCTATATATTGGCCAGGTGAAAAAAGCCCTGTGCGCTTGAACTGTGGCATTGCTTTAGAATTTCAATTCTGCAAGAGTGCTGAACAAGTGCCTGCTTTGCAACATCTTGAAAAAGTGCTGGACAAGCGCTGAACATTCATTTTCATTCCACTTTCGACATCGGCCGCTTTGCTACCAAGGCTCTTGCTGGTCAAGTTGGAGGTCTTCAAGCAGGTCGGGTTTTTGCTCCACAAAAAGAGTTGGCGCTTGCTCAGCGCCAGGCAAGGCACTTTTGCAGCACCTTCTTTGACCTTGCTACTATATACAGCAATACTTTCATTTTAGAGATACCCCACAGAGTTTCAACAACATTACATTGCACTTATACAGCGCCAGAATGGCACTTTACAGCACCATATCTAGTCAGATTGTCTTTTTTCCCAGTACGTGTGCTTTGATTGTCATGTTTTGCAGACTACCTAAGATAGCTTCTATCAAATCATTACATGGCACTTGTACAGCGCCAGAATGGCACTTTACAGGACCATATCTAGTCAGATTGTTTTATGATGTAAGTATGCTTTGATTGTCATGTCTTGCAGACCACCTGACCTTTGATCCCATGATTCTGTCTGCAAAACTGATGCTGCCAAGGCGCACTCGCATTGCACTGCTGCGGCTGCGGCAGGAGACAGGTGGTATGGATATCAACACACACGCATGCACACAATCATAATTTGGAACATGAAGGTGTGTGTGTGTGTGCGCCTACACGGCACTTAAGCAGCACCTCCAACTGGCGCTTCGCGGCACCAACATTTATCAGCTGATACAATCTACTCTACTTACAAGGCCCTTACACAGTACCTGAAACTTAGCAACATTATGTTTAGTCAACGTTTTTCTTTTACAATAAGTTGAGCAAGGAAAATTTAAGTTTTAGACAGAACCCAAATCATAAGTTTACCTTTTCAAACCATATGTTTAAATTGTGTGCACAAGAAACATATGACCCAGCATAGCTCCAAAATTCTAACAAAAACAACGTCATAAGTTTATCAGCTTATCTAGTTTCAATCCAAAACCAAAAACACAACAAGAAAGACACAACACAGGTATACAGCAAGATGCTTGAAATAGCGTCGCCGGTGGCCTTTGAGGTCCGGAAGAGCCCGCCGCCGGAGTGGCTGTCGCCGAGACATGACTTGTCCTCCGCAAGGAGGGTGTCAGCTTTGTACTCAGTTCAAGGCTTTGCGGGGCCTTGCGCTGCTCCTCCTCAGGGCACCCAACCGTTCATTCGCAGTCAGTTCGAGATTTCGAGGCCGCTCTCCGGGCAGCGTAGATCTCATGGCGCAGCAAAGGCAAACGCGGTCAAGGCAGGTTTGGGCTCATAACCCGCGTGGCATAAAAACCTGCCGGACTTTTCACTTGAGCCAAACACATGTTGCCGGTTTCGGCTTGTTCATGTACTCTGGTACACTTCTCGGTTTTGTGCGACATGACCCGCAGATTGAACTGTCGGTGGGGATCACTCGAAGTAAAGTTTTTCATTTTTGAACATATGTGAACTCTGCCCATCTGGCCTGTCAGGAGTATGACCTGGCCATTTTCTATATGGCGCCATGGTGGGCCATGGTGGAGGGGGGTCCTGGGCCAGGGAGTGACTTCTGGGTGGAGGAAGTTCTTCGAAGCCGGGAGGTCAACAAGCCGCTCAAAGCCGGACGAGCTTGGGCTTACAGGTCTTTTCGGGTTCGGAAAAATGCAAAGCCAATTGCTTCGCCAAGATTCTCCTGGGATTTTCAGGTGGATGTCTAAATAAATATATATATATAGATAGGCCAGTGCCAACCTAAATGTAATTAATATACATATATATATATGATTGTGCCTGCGCACTGCGCACACCTCGGAAATGTATTATACTCCGAGCGTTGGTCGCGTCGGAGCCTCGGCCGATCATCGAGGCACTGGTGGGGCTTCTGGTGAACAGCAAGCCTGGCCTCGTTACGCCCAAATCATTGGATGCCTGGTACGTGGGAACCTGCTTGCTTTGGTACGTGGCCTTGATTCCTGCCAGGTTCCTGCCAGGGTTACGAGCGAAAAACAGATCCAGTCGTTGAGCGGTGGGTTTGAAGGGTGCAACTCTGCTGAAACTTTCATCCACTTGCTGCTGTTCTTTTCCTTGGTGGTGCGTGCGTGTGTGTGTGTGTGTGTGGCCCTCTCCGTTTCTAGGAGTTTTCTCTCTCATGTACTTTTTAAGCAAGCAGGGGACCATGCAGGCAGGATACATCGTCGCCGGGTCAACGAAGCTGGCGATGTATCCGAGGATATGGAAATGGGGCGCCATTTCCACGTACCTGCACTGCTATACAGGGCAACAGAAGGAAATTGTTCTCGGTGGACTTGTGCGTCGGTTCTTTATCTAATGGGGCGATTCGCAAGTCTCGCCCCTATAGCTACAAACTGGAATCTTCTTTTCCTTTTCTAGCTATTTTCTACACATCCGAAGCGTTTCCATTGCTCTCGCTTGATGAATTTAACCCACCATGCGCAGCCGTAATTCGGGACCGCTAAGTATTCAGTAACTAAACTGCTGCAGTCAAGCGAAAACACCGCTGTTCAAACTCAAACATTCTGTTTGCGCGGACTCAGCCACCTTTCCGTTCCCTCGTTCCTTTCACTGGGGATTATGGCATTGGATGAACCATTTCTAAGTGTGACAGTGTGACTCGCTGTTTTTTCACCCATGAATCAACCGACGTGACGCCGCCGGGCATACGGTTTTGACGCCGACGGCTTATTACACGCATGTACACACACCCCTTTCCCCCCCCGCTTTCTCTCTTGCGCTTTATCGTTTGTCAGGTATTCTTTCAGGCTTGTTAGGTGGCTCTTGAGGCTCGTTTCCGCGCCCCTCGGGTTTTTGGTTCTTTCTCTCCTGCCTATTCGTTTCTCTTTCAAGGTTTGTTTTTCTGCTAGAGGCTTTTTGTCCTATTTCAGTCAAGGGCAAAGTAGTCAAGTCAAGTAATCATGGTCTCTGCACATGAGCGCCGCAAAGCGGCAATTTGTGTGTGTGTCCCTCCGTTTCTAGGAGTTTTCTCCTTCATGCACTCTTTGAGCAAGCAGGGGGCCAGGCAGGATACATCGTCGCCGGGCAACGAAGCTGGCGATGTATCCGAGGATATGGAAATGGAATGCTGTTTCCACGTACCTGCGCTGCTATAGGGGCAACAGAAGGAAATGGTTCTCGGCGGACTTGTGCGTCGGTTCTTTATCTAATGTGGCGATTCGCAAGTCTCGCCCCTATAGCTACAAACTGTAATCTTCTTTTCCTTTTCTAGCTATTTTCTTCCCTATCCAAAGCGATTCCTTTGGTCTCGCTTCCAGACGGAATTTAACCCACTATGCGCAGCCGTAATTCGGGACGGCTAAGTATTCAGTAACTAAAATGCTGCAGTCAAGCGAAAACACCGCTGTTCAAACTCAAACACTCTGTTTGCGCGGACTCAGCCACCTTTCCGTTCCCTCGTTCCTTTCACTGGGGATTATGGCATTGGATGAGCCATTTCTAAGTGTGTGTGTGTGTGTCAACTCCCGTCACCAGGATCAGGAAAACGTACCCGCTGAGTGGGGCACCTGGGCGCTTTGTAAGTCGCAGCTGGTGACTGCCTTTTTGTTTTAAAGCTGCTCCATGCTTCACCCATGTTAGGCAATACAAATTCTCTGACTCAACGTGCCGTTCCATCAACCAAGGCTTACATACCTTGCAGTAAAGTAAAGTGCACCCTGAATATCGTTCCTTGGAACAATTTTCTCCAAGCGTGTGTTTGTGCGGGCGCTTCAACTGCATTATATATGTAATGATTTAATTACGAAAGATCTATATACGTAGTTCCAAGACCATTTTTCCCATAAATTGGTTGGCCTCCTGCTGTACTCCTTAGTAAAGCAATGACTCTTCGGTAAAGGCTCGTGTTTTTATACAAATCAAGGGTGGTTGGAAGATTTGGAAGGCTAGGGCCCTATAGGGTATGTGTCCATGTGTCCATGTGTATGCATACGCAATGAACCCAATTTTCGGCCTGAATGTGCCCTGAATTATCCATCAATTTCCGGAGATGGGAATGATTGTCCGGAATCGCTTGGATTTGTGGCCGTGTGATCCGCGAAGACATATTGGCCGACCCTATGAACCCAAAAGACCAGGTTTAACGTGTCCGAATTGGGTATTCATTGGAACGATCAATTTTTTCCAGATAGTTGTTCGAGTAGTGTCGCAGTAGATTTGGTCAAGTCGGATTAAGTCGGGTCATTTTGTGGGTAGTTTTGGAGTACACCTGAAGATGAGGTGTCGGAGTACACGCAAACAGAACAGGTGTTCCATGCCATACCCACTTCAGGTGTTTGGACAACTCTCGACCGTGTTTTTTGTCGAGAAGAAAAGGCGACGAAAAAACAGCTGCATGGACAGCGAGATTTCTGCCAAAAAGATCGTCATGTTTTGTGGCAGGTATGCGAATGTGATGGTTGTGATGGCCTTTAGCTTTGCGGGTCGGTTCTTGTTTGGTGCGCTGGTGAAACGCGTTTGGTGCTTCCTCCTGTGCACCTTCATTGGTTTGGTGCAGCTCCTTTGGATGGCTCGATTGCAACGTCAGCACCCGACCGACGAGGCTGGGCCCATCGTGCCTGGGCTGAATACGCGCAACGTCATTGGATCTGAAACGTTGGTTCCCTCGAACTGCGATTCTCCAGCCACGGAATAGTGTATCGCATGATAGTATATAGATAACATTGACCCGTCTCTTGTAACGAGGTAAATATTCCAGCCCTTTCCAGCAGAGGTTGAAGAACTGTAGACTATCTAGAGGTACCCCAATAGGGTTCTATCAGGTAACTTAATCTCTGTTGGTTGCAGTGTTTTGAGTTCCCAGCTTCCTGCATCCGAGGTCAATGTTAACATTGTGCTCCTCATCACTTACCTCATGATGCTGGCTGCTCACGCAGCACGATGTTTGCCACCTGTTTTGGCTCCCTCCCCCCTGCAGTTGAAGCATTGATGTTGATCCTTTGAGCAAAACTGAGGCTGGTGTGAGTGCCTTCCGGTGGCTACTTCTGGAAAACGCCAAGTTGAAACACGACTTACAGGGTCGGACTGTGGAGCTTGGGGCCATTTCATCTTTGTTGGCAGTGTGCTATGATGCAGTAGTGGAGGTGGGTCCCGCCAGCAGTTCGATGCGACCGGATCCACTTCCGATTCCTTAAAACGTATATATTATTTATAAGACAGCACCTTCAAGATCTTGAAAGGGGTCACCAATGGGAGCCCCTACACCATTTAGAGATCTCCATTAAACACCCCTTGAAGGTCTAGGTATGTAATATATACATACAGTATGCGTATAAATATACCCCTTGCCTCGGGAACCTTGAAAAAACAGGGGTACCTTGTTTTTACCTTCCAGAGACACTCTTGTGTAGTGCTCTTGCAAAGCTGTGGCACTTGGCCCAAAGAAGACGGCCGTGAGCGCACTTTTCTTGCCAAGCCAGGAGCTTAGATCCTTCGAAACATGCCTTCCCTGCTCCATGCTACGTAAGCGCTGACCAGATATCTCTGGAACCCCCTTTGCACTGCTAATTTTGGAGATACTCGCCGCACTAGACGGCATACCTTTCCTACAGCATCCTCATCTTGTTGCGTGCCAAACGCCATCGGGTTTAGCACGTGAGAGGAGATGTCACATTCCCACATCATGGTCTTTACAGTATGAATTATCATGTGAGCCTTAGGCTTGCACAAAAAGAGAAGCTGTCCTTCGTTGTGCGCTTGCACAACCAATGCCTGCTGAAGGATTAGAAACCCTTCCCAATCAGAAACGATTCTTTTCGCTTGCCTAGCCGGAATCCAAAGAGGTGCATTGTACAGACTGGTGAAGACTTTGTTGATCAACTCTGCAGCGTCAGCCTTACTGTGGGGCTGAAGTACGAAGGAAAAGCACAAACATAAACGCATTAATTGGAAAACACACATAAACAAACTAACTCACTTGTCAAGAGGAAAGGATGCAATAACATGATTTACACTTGTCGGAAATAACGTTGAGAAACAGTTTTCTCCAGAAGGGAATCCTTTGGGAACGAATTCTTGTGAGAGCTCATCCAGGAAGATGCCCACCTCATCAAACTAGTCGTAAAGTTCCCCTTTGTCCATGATCCCGATGGGAACTCATTCCCAGCACAGTTGAACAGCTGTACATTGAACTTGGAAGCGTAAGCTTGGCAGCTGTTTGATCTGCAGAACGTTTTGTAATCCTGAAACATTGCATCAAGCCGTGAGTCCACAGTGGTTCCAGGGAAGAACGGTAGCATCAGCTTGACACAATTGGCAATGAACCCACGACCTTCCCCAAGGTGCCAATTGTGGAACGGATCCGGAACCAGAAAGGAAGCAGGAAAGGTCGTGTCATGCGTTAAACGCAAAATCTCAGGTTCGGATGTCCACGGTGCAGTTGTACCAACAGTGTATTGCCATTCACCGTTCAATGAAATATCTTCCCACGGTACTCCAGGAACCCCTGCATCACAAAGATGGCAAATGCCAGTGCATGGCTTTTTGGAGGTCTCCCTTTTCTCAGCATTGAAGAAGGACCTCCAGAGCCGGCCAATCTTGACCAAAAAGGGCCAATCACCCTTTATGAACAGAACGGCTCCAAAGTATTTGACATGGTTCGGCCCTTCAACACCTTTGGTGGCAAGATCTTGCAGGTCATCAATCAATCGGTTGACGAGGGTCCAATAACCCTTCGAGTCACCCGGGTCGATGTCGTACAGTTCGGCAAAATGCCCAACAAAAAGCGTGTGCAGAATGTGGAACCGATGTAGTTTAGCTTTTGGTCACCTGGTTTCTGCACAGACTTCGAGAGTGATCCAAGTCCTAAAGCCGACTGCATGTTCAGGATGAGTACTCCTTGCCGTTTCTTTCCCCGCCCCTCGTCCCCATGGATCAGGAGAGGGACTGTTCTTTTCAAGTCCACCTGCTGGCAGTCTGCCAGTGAGAAAATACTGTGCCCTGGATGGCAACATTGAAAGCGGTTCCAAAAGAGCTCCAACTGCTTGCCAGCATCATCCCTGTTCTCAAACTCAAGGCCAGCAAGCCTGTGAAAGTTCCCGGTGTTCCTGGGCAGCGGGCTCACGAGCAATGCAGGGGTCCACAACTTGGCAAACCTTAGAAACCTCAGAAACGGTTCAAAAAGTACAGGCGTAAGCATTTGTTCTCTAAGCATCAATATGTAGCGAAACCAATCCGAAGGCAAAATGCACGGTATACTCCCTTCTTTCAGGTGCACTTCCGTGGTGGGTACAGCTAGGGACAACCCAAACTCACCTAAGGTGGCATGAACTGCCGTCTCGGAGTTCCGCTCAGAATGGCGGGCCAGTCGACTCAAGCTGCTTGAGACTGCGGAGCCAGCCTCTGCAACAATGGCCTTTGCAGTCTTCACGGTGGCCGAACAAGAGACCTTGGCAAATCAAATTCTTTTAAGTTCAGAAACTATGCAAGCCCTGGCAAAGTGGATGCACAGGTCACACACTTTGTACGAGATGTATGAGCTCGGCAAACTGCAACTTCTATGAGGCAACGCTCCTAAGCAAATGCGGTTCTTTTCCCTCGGTGACCACTCAGCAACTGCCCCTTGCTTTGTAAGCTCATCTCCGTCCACTCGGAGATTCAAATCTCGCGGATGTTCAGCTCAGTTGGTCTTCTGATGATCACCGCCCAAACTCCTGGTCGCCAACTCTCAAGCACTAGACTACTCCTGTTTTGGTCTCAAAGCAAACTTCCTGTAATCACTCTAGTTACGCTTAGGCACTACCATTCAACCCAATGTGGCAAAGTTTGCGCAACTGTTCTTCAGGTAAATCAGGATGGCGCTTCTTGAGTTCGTCAAAGGTGTACCATTCTCCGTGCATTTCCTCCACACACTTAGAAGGTCCTGCTGGCAGTGAAGGGTATGTGGAGAGTTTATCCTTGTTCACCTTTTTCACCCTTCACCCCTTTTCCTTTCCCATTGAAACCCAGAAAGCAAAAAATGCAAAGGATCATAAAGGAGCCGATTCAGTCCTGATTGGGCTCCGGCTCCCCCAAAAAAACGAACCAAATTTAACATGATAGTTGTTTGGAATAAAGATGCCGACCTCCTTGCTTTTGAAGGGAAGGGGGAACTTGAACTTGAGCCATTCAGATCGCATCTAGGAGCTTGTGAATCTGTCTTGCACTTAGGCGCGTGATGGCTCGCAAAATCCGTGGATGAAGCGGTGCGGAACTCAAGTTTTTTGGGACTTCCTCGTGGTCATTCCTGGGCCCCCAAACCAACCAGAACCACAAGACTGTACCCAATTATTGTGGAACAGCTCTTGCCCTACAAAGTCGTAGCCGCCCCTTTGGCGGGTGTTTAAAGCTCCTATACACTAAGTACGTGAAGAAAGGCCCGTCAGATGAAGCGTCAACGGAGTCTCCACCAAGCCGGATGTTGCGGCAACCTGGCGAACCTCAGGACATTCGGGTATATATTCTTACAACCTTCTTGTGGACACAGCTATGCATGCAACACGTTTTGAGATGAGGGTCCGTGATATTGATGGACAAGGAAGGCTTCCATCGAAGCTGCAGAAGTAGCGCTTTCAGACATGTACAAACCAACCATATACTCGAAATTGTCCCTGACATCATGCACATAGCCGTAGAGTTTGTTGTTCCATCTCCAAGTCAAGGAGTGCGTCCAGCCTACTTTGAATATGCACGGGTATTCCCTGTGGAGAATGGCACTGACTTCAGAAAGGACATGGCGGAGAGCCCCACCGGTGGCCAATGTCTTTTTTGGGAATATGTGGGAGATGCTCTCCTGGGATTCCAAATCATTCAAGCACATCTTTAATCTTGGCAAGTCCCGCATCTCAGCTGGCACAAACGCTTCCCACTGTGGACCAAGGTCATCGGACAATGCAGCAGGCGGCTCAGGTGCTGAGGATGTCCGGGCATCAGATGAGTCCTGGTCCCATCACGTGTCCCCCCCATCCAATTCTTGAGGACACGATTCCGCACTGATAAAAAACCACTCAAAGTCACCCCAAGATATCCGCCTCCGTGTGGTTGCTTTGCAGAAGCTCTGAAAGCCATTCTTCATCGGAATCATGGCTTGTGGAAGTAGTGGCGGTCATTAAAGTGAAAGAGATAGAAAGATGCTAGTTCAAAGATGTGTGGAGTAGCTGAGAACTGGAGCCTCGCAATGGTGCTGTGGCTTGAAGAGATGTCGACCTAACAAAAGAATTGGCCTTTCTAAATCTGGAAGATTGATGTACGGCGGGGCCGGCGAGTTCATGAGCTTGAAATCCAGGGACTGCACTATAGACCAACGCTGACCTCAGGTCTTGACGCCATCAGCAATGTTGGAAGCCAGCTGCCGCATGATCCTGCCAGGACCTGGCGGTGGGAGTGAAAACGTTGGACATCCTGAAACCTTGCATGAAGTGTTGGCAACGGATTAGTTTTTCTTTCTTGTTCCCCATGAAAAGACGTGTGGAGATCACACATCCTTCGATCCATCTAAGCTGAAACTGGGCAAGGCAGTTTTGTAGGCGTTGAGTATGCAAAACAAGTATGTTGTTGATGGTCCCATTCACCTTGGCCCCCAAAGTTCAATGCCCTAACCTTGCCATATTGCAAGGATGGCACTTGTTGAAATCCCAAACGCTGGCCTTTACACATGTTATCACGTGTTGATTGGCGCAGCATCCCTATCAAAATGCCAGTTGGCTCCCTAGCTCACTTGTCCTTCCTTTTCTTCTCCTACCGAAAGAATGACTGACTTCCATACAGACCAGTGGCACACGCACAAAACAATGCGAAGAAGGGCTTGTGAAAGGGCCTTCTTTGCCTTCTCGTCGGTCTTGTTGTCAAGGTTTGACGGCTGTGGTTCCTCCACCTTGCGTTTGTTCGTTTTGGCATCTTTCTTTGTCCAAGCCACCTTTGCTTGCCTGAAAATATAGGTTCGAAGGGCCGGAAGTAAGTGGCAGGCTTCGTCAAAAGCGAACACATGCACATGGACTTGGGCAACATGTGATTGAGGCCACCACTTGACCTTCACTTCCAGTGCCAAACCCTCGGAGCACCTGATTCAGTAGGCTTGCACGATAAGGTATAATAAGGCATGAGTTGA